TTATAAATAAAAAAAATATTATTAAAAAAACAAAATACCCGACTGCACACTAAAAAAAGAATAAAACAAGCCCCACAATACAAATTTACTGAATATAATTTATAAATGTTGATGGAAAGCATCGCAGGCGGGGACCACCTTGACCGCCACCAACGAAAATTCTGCTAAATGGTGCACAACAGAAATGACTATAAATAAGCCTCTGTTGGTCCCCGCCTGCGATGCTTTCCATCAACATTTATAAATTATATTCAGTAAATTTGTATTGTGGGGCTTGTTTTATTCTTTTTTTAGTGTGCAGTCGGGTATTTTGTTTTTTTAATAATATTTTTTTTATTTTACTAGTACTGACTGTCTATGATCTGATGAACTTGTTGCTGTCAACTGTCAATGTATATTTTGAACGTTCGGAAATGCTTAGCAACATTTTTGTTTTGCTTTGTTCGGATGCCTAGTTATCTTTTGCTGTACATTTCTAGTTTTGATTGAAAATATGGTGAAGAAATGAATACCTGAAAGGAAAAATTCTTTAAAATTTATAAAAATTTACTTTTAAAAGCTCGTTTTGGCTAACATGGCCGGTTTAAATTGAGCTTTTTAACAGGAATAGACATAATAGGTTTTGGACACTAAAAACTTCTTTGGAATTTGAGTAGATTGCTATGGTTTTGTTCGCCGGCAACTCATAAGATATCACAAATATGTACCTGTCTCTAGGATACATACATGTTTTTTCTTGATGATATAGCATGCCTTTATGATATACTATTTAATTTAATAATATCTAAAAATCTCTAAATAACATCTTAACTATTAATGAAATTAATAAAATATATTTTGAGATGAATTAAATGTCCAGATAAAGCTAGACACAGTCGAGTGTTCAGCCAAATTAGAGTGAGTCTGGCTTTTGTTCAACATCATATTGTGTGTTCTTACATCAAGAACACTTTTTTTTTTAACTGCTTTTTGTTTTCGTGGAGTTTTGTAACTGTAACACATAAGTTTCCTATCGGATTGCATGCCTCAAAGCTGTAAACTTAAATTAGACACTAGCTTCTCTCGCGCGGTTTCACCCGCTGCTCTCTTTGATCGTAGCGTGGTGTTTTATAGCCTATAGCACTCAGGAACATTGTAGCTATCTATCAGTGAAAGAATTTTGGCAAACCGACCAGCCGTTCCAAAGATTATCCCCTAAATACAAACTTACAAATTTCACCTCTTTATAATATTAGTATAGAATACAAAGTAACCACAATAGGCTATTCTACTATTTTTTCAAACGTTCGTTTACATGAGATAGCCTAATGTTAATTTTATTTTTACTTAATAAATATACCTAACATTTGCATCCTGGAAGTATAGAACAAAGAGTATGTAACCACTATGGTATAGAACTATGGAAATCAAAGAGTATGTAACCACTACATTTAATGGAAATGTCAAACAAAGACTAAGTAACAGTTAAATGTCAAAGGACAAAGAATTTTTATTTTGGACTTTATGGCCTGGTGACGCTTCCTTTAACCCAAAACGCCAAAGAAATAGCAAAGCCAGAGACTAGGGTTGGACAGTCATTCCTAAAATAATCGATTCAATAAAATATATACATATACATACAGTTATATACACATTTTTATGTTATAGCATGAAACTGGCTTATTAGTGTAATAAAGATTAATTATTATTATCCGCATATTTATTAAAATTACTCGAAAATACCATTTTTAAAAATTCCTATAAAATAAAAAAATATAATTAAAAATACGTTTTAGAGTTATTATTACCTTATTTCTATAAATGCGAAAGTAGCGATGTTTGGATGTTAGTTACTTAATCACGCCAAAACGGTTGGACGAATCTGAATGAAATTTGACACAGGCATAGGATACCCACACTCCGGAATAGGACAAAGGCTATCTTCTTATCAATATACCGTGGCACGCGGGTGAAGCCGCAATGAAACAATGAATTTATTTTTGCAAATAGGCCATAAAACGGCACTTTTACACGTCAATTTATATGTGAAAAACTAGATGAAGCCGGCATTTCCTATCTGACTACTCTGAGAAGAAATGCCGAAACAAACTCAGAGGTCAGTCTCTTTTCAAGTCCAGACAATGTAAAAATAACATAATGTGAGAGAATCGTGCAAGTTCATTCTGTAGTGGTCTTTTGAGGAAAGAACCACACCAGTTTAAGTGGACCCGTTCTGAAGACAGGCACGCAAGTGTCAGTTTGCAACCAGTATAGCTAGTGCTGCTGAGTTGTCCGACGAACAATACCGATCTAAAGAACATTTGGGTGGGTCGCGCAAGTACTCAAACTGTCAGAACGCAGATAACTGGTAATCAAAAAGCACGGCAAGTCTCACACGGTCCTTACACTAACAATAATATAAAATAATAAAAATGTCAATAAATAAATAAAAAAAAATGTCAAATAAAAAATAAAATGTCACAATAGGTGATTATGTCATTGTATAAAAATAAACGTAATGTCAAATTGTATATAAAAGTGTAACTTATGTTACAAACATGTCAACATGACCTGTGCAGACATTACAGCGGCTCATTCCCATGCCTGACTATCCTCTAAGTAGTCTTTTATTTTATAAAATGCTTTACAGCAAAGTTTAGCCTTTATTACACTTTTAAATTTATTGAGGCTCAAATTTTGAATATCGCTAGGAATTTTATTGTAAAAGCTTATACATTGACATCTAAACGAACTAGTTATTTTCTGAAGCCGCGGGCGGAAGCTAGTTATTAATATAACTAACTCATTGTTAAATTTGTTTTGTTCACATTTTTCAGATCCTCTACACAAATTCCCAAATCCGAATTCATTTAAAGTGGAACAGATTGACAGATTTAAATCATGGAAAGCGATACTTCAATCAGCTGATCAAGAGAAGGGGGATGAATACATTTGTAAGAAGATCAGAATTTGTAGCAAACATTTCATCGAAAGCTTCAAATTGCCGTCTCATTATTTAACACAGAATGCAGTGCCAACATTATTTTTAGGTAACAGGTACAATTTTTTTATACGAAAATCAAAAATATTTATCATTTACTTACCTTAAAGAGCCAATAGACCACCACAGACGGGGCCCCATAGGGCTGATGTTCAGCCGGGGTTGCGGGGTAAGCGCAATGAGGCACCGCGGCCTCGGCCTGAAGCAGGAGAAGAAAAGTACTTTTTGAAACGGATTATTTAAAAAACTTGAGATCCTCACCGTCGAGAGAGGATCTCCGGCCACCGTAAGCGCGGGTCTGCGGACGGCGAATAAGGGTACCTCGCCGCCCGACCGGAACCCGAGCGTACGGCGCGTAGCGTTCCGCGCGCGCCTCAAAGAGCCAATAGACCACCACAGACGGGGCCCCATAGGGCTGATGTTCAGCCGGGGTGGAGGGGTAAGCGCAATGAGGCACCGCGGCCTCGGCCTGAAGCAGGAGAAGAAAAGTACTTTTTGAAACGGATTATTTAAAAAACTTGAGATCCTCACCGTCGAGAGAGGATCTCCGGCCACCGTAAGCGCGGGTCTGCGGACGGCGAATAAGGGTACCTCGCCGCCCGACCGGAAGCTCCAGAACCAGACCCGAGCGTACGGCGCGTAGCGTTCCGCGCGCGCCTCAAAGAGCCAATAGACCACCACAGACGGGGCCCCATAGGGCTGATGTTCAGCCAGGGTTGCGGGTTAAGCGTAATGAATAACGAATTGTAAAACTGATTGAAAAAGAGTTACCATGGAGTTTCTTGCTCGTTCTTCTCCATCAGAATCTTCACTTTGGAACGAGCAAATAGCTTCACTAGAGGACAGACTGACACGCATAAATTTAAACCTAATGAAATATATTTTATTTTTCTTTTTTGGTTGACGTTCAAAAGTGCCCACTGTGGCCTAATTGAAGTAAATGATTTTTGGCTTTTGACTTTGAGTCACCGCGTCCTCGGCCCAGAGCAGGAGAAGAGCCAGGGGAAAAAAGGATATTGTAGGTAATAAAAAAGCGAATTTAACTCAAAAACATTAGTTTACTATTCGTCATAGCGAATGCTTTTTTGCAGCCCGTAGGTACCTAAATGTCAGTGTGACGTCAACGAGGTCAGGTGCAAACTTAGCTTGGTGAGATGGAAGTAGTTGTTAGTTAACCATGGTCGCAAATGCAATGTCGTTATTAAAACGAAATATCGACATCGCGAAGTTAAGTATCGCACATCCCTCTTCCTTGTAGGTATTTAATTTTCAATTCACTGTGCCGGGCGCTTGGGGCAAAGTATAAAGAGAGGAAGTATGTTATTTTCATAGAAACGCACCTCGCGCGGCTTGTATGTGTGCGCCATAGTATCTACGCGTCACGCACGCACACTGTAACAAAATCTCAACCCGTTTCTCAGTGCGCCAGTCGGGGCTAACACTGCACGAAGTTCGAACGTCACTGTTTTACGGCACCGCTAAATCAAAACAAAATGTCTGATTATCGCAGGACAGTATTGCTGTGTATTTGGGTGTCTTAACAATTCATCGATTCCAGAATTGTCTCTGTTCAGATTACCAGTTACCTACCTATTTAACAAGAAAGGTAAGCTATATAGTCACTAATTCTAGCATATTATTATAATTTTTACTTGATTTTGAGATACCTACTTAAATATTTATTTTTTGTTGTATTAGTCCAGTTTCAGCCCTTACCATTTCCTACCTAACCTACCTTCTACACAAACCCTGTACCCAGACAATACAAGTAAAAAATACAACTTCCCGACCCTTGCCAATTTATAGGCACTGAATTAAAAATTTTCTAAAAGTGACAACCCTGAGACAGTAGGCAACTATATCGCGAATTTGGCCGGAGATAACTTACTGCCTTCTCTTTATACTATGCTTGGGGCACGTCAACTTTTTTGAAGTCGGGCGGTTAAATGGTTAAAAAGAGACATGTTTATTTCCTATTTCAATTTCGGAGTCTCTGATAAAACGTGTTTATATAATCTGTGATCTCTGACTAGTTTATAGTATAATCTGTGGTAATACTTATGTGTGCTTGTGATATTATTGTTGTTGTTGTCTTAAATTATTAATTATTGGTTAATGATCCGGCTGTGACTAGCTACGTGCTGAATGTAAAATGCCACCAAAAAAACGATTTATAACCTGTGAAATATGTGGATATCGATCCAGTCGTAAGAGTAGTGAGAAAAGGACGTTTATGGCGAAGTTTCCTTTGGATGAGGACCGGTAAGCATTGAATGATATAAATTTTATTTAATTCTTAGTGTAAAAGGCTACGAGTACAAACCTAAATTGCTATTTGATTTAATGTATTGTGTACTAGTCATGTACCTCAAATAGTAAACCTGCAACTCAACAAACCCAGTAGCTATTAAGAAATTTATAATTAAAATGGATAAAAAATAATGTATACTGTAAGTATTCGTAATATTTATTTCTTTACTATATAAGGAACGTCAACAGTTTACACATTTTATATAGAGTTATTCATGTCATGGACTGTTCATTTTGATATTTTAATTATTATTCAGATGCCGGCAGTGGGTGAAGGTGGTCGGCAAAGAAGATTTAGTGTATGTGCCCATAGAAAAATTGCATACACTGAAGTATGTTTGCGGCAGCCACTTTGAAAACAATGATTTTAATCAAAAACAAACTCGCCTTAATAGGTCTGCTGTGCCATCAAAAAACTTAAAAGCTGATCCACTACCTGATGATATGCTCACTGAATTTCCTTGTTATATATATGACAGTGAATCTTCGCTATCACAGGTTGAAGGAATCACTGGATCTTGTAATACAGGTATTATGTCTTTTTTAACTTAATTTAGCAGCAAGCTCTTTTAAAATCATTCTTTCCTGGGAATTATTTCTAGTGATTGATGATATTGAATGATTTCTAGAATCATATAGGTTCAAAGAGCAACAGAAAATTGCACATAAAAGAAAATGGTCTCCTTGCTCAAAGAATAAACTTAACAATCCAATTCCAAATTAATATTAAAAATTCGAAAGTAACTCTTTCTGCCGGTCTGGCTTTTCTTCACGCCTAAACTACTGGAATTTGGTACAGACATAGTTTGGAACTCAAGAAAGGATATAGGATAGTTATATAATATCAAAAATTTGCAGGAAGTCACTATACCATGTGAACAAAGTCGCAGGCAAAAGCTAGTATTATAATAAACAATACTATAACTTTAGGTATTTTTCATCATTAAGTACTAGACAAATACTCTATGAAAGATTAGTAAATTCTGAATGCTATCACAACTTATGTAGGTACTTGTGTAATGTATTAGTGGTGTAATAATAGGAATATTACAATAACAAGGAAGCAGGGAAACAAGAAAGGGTTGTTACAATTATTTATTTTGATATTTCTAGAACCACCTACTTCATGCTTGGAGTTACTCGACCATGATTATTATGTGAGAAAGAGAAAAGCCCTTCGTAAAAGAAAAAAAGCGCCTGAGAAAAAAGGTAAATACTTTGCCTACCTTCAATAGTTATCAGTGTTGGCTTGAGTCAGGCCTGAGAGATACATCATATATTTGTCGCTTATACACAATAGTAATGGTTTCCACCGAGTACTTTGTATTATACGTATAGGAATTGATGCTATCTGAGACATCAGTAAGTTCCATTATTTGCGTGTCTCGCTCAAGGAAGATGCTCAGCAGGTAATTAAAAATATAGATTTCAGAAGATATATTATGGGCTGCTTTAAACGTATCGCTTATATTCTCTCGTATTAATCGTTGTCGATCCCATGGACGCGAGACATCTTAAAAGGCTTAAAAGACTTGTATCCAAAACTGTGTTTTTTTTTGTAATGACATTTGCCCGATTTGTCATTTTACTCCATTGACATAGGAAATATATGGACTTGAAATACCTACGAAAAAAAGGTGCATACCTACAATCCAAAATGTCGCATAAGATGGCTGCCGTTGCTAGGGTTGTGCCGACTAAGTATTTAACGAGTATCGATACAATTTGAGTATAAGTTCTACGTAGGTATAGTTTTAGGGATTAGCCAGCTGATTAACGGTATTTATTTATGGGAAATCACCTAATGTCATCTCCGGCCCTTTTCGTGACAGACCGTTACTGACCAAAATCAACTCCTGTTCCTACTTTGCCGTCGGCCTAGCTAGAGCCCGGAACCCGGGGTTACCTTGGTCTCTTGATTGGCTAATGATTTTCTCAAGTCGAATTTGTATTCATATAATTCTAAATAAAGCGTCTTTTAAAAAAATAGGACTGTGTTTATGAACAGCGTTTAATGGAATGGTGAAATAGAAAAGATAGTGTTTGTTAAATGTTTATCTTTATATATGTAGAAAACCTGTGGGAATTTGTGAAGTGCTCGCGCACAATTTTGGCGCGTCTGATTAAGCGATGATATCTTCGAAACTACGTTAGCACAAAATAGATAAGTAGTGAAGTCAATCTTATTGTATGTATCTCACTTTTTATTATTACGCTTGGTGGTCGCACTGGGATCGTCGCCAACGCCGCTCTGTCAATCGCGCCCGTATAATTATAAAACATGATAATTTGAACTTCTACTTATGTAACTAAAACCAATACCAAAATACTGACGTCTTACTTTAGCGTTACACAAAACTGCGGAAACATCCATTGTTAAAATAGATTATTTAGTATATGTTGAATTTTAAATGGGAGATTATATCGATACTTTTGCGGAATAGTACGTAACTATGCCATATTGACATATTATTGTAAACAACATTTTTTTACTAAAACTGTCTCACAGACAGAAATAAAAGTAAATATATATACTTTGGCAATAGATTCAAGTATCCGTAACATTTTTTTCTATCTATGTGGATTATTCTAAGTAATATTTGATGAAAACTGGTTACTAACCTATGCAAAGACAATTGAGGTTGATTTTCGTTCTTTTTTGCACCACACTGCACAATACAACACACAGGCATATTGTTTATTTGTTCCACTATATATATTTGAAGTTTAAAAAAAATGATTGTTTCTAATTTACTGGAAAACCGCAATAATTTAAAACATAAACAACCGTTTGACAGCACAACTACCATGAAACTCAGGTACTCTGAGCGCTTAAGATGGCGGACATGGCACTTACCTACAACTTTGCTATGTCAAAATGATTTGTTGCCATTATAGCAACAACGTAAATATTGTTGTCCCTTTTGTCTAATACAGTTATTGCCTTAGAAAGAGTGAGAAAAAACGATGTTTCATAGTTTGTTTCATATTTCACTCATATTTGTATAAGCATATATACTTCTAAAATAACACGGCGCCTCTATATATTTTCTATCTCAATGCATTGTCCGCGTACATGCTTGACTGTTTATTTCAGGGTCTGTCAAGTTTGTTCTACGAATTGCATATATATAGGTGTGCTAGGAAACAAGAAAGAGACAACGACATCAGAATAAAAGAGATGAATATATAATGTTGCCACCAAAAATACAATTTTATATTCCTCACAATAATGAGCTTATTAAAGTAAATTACCGTTGAAAATACATTCAGCTATAATTTTAATGCTATAAACTTATACTTCGTTGAGTAATATTAGGTATACAATTGAAAATATACTCTGGATTATGTGTGGCAACACTGTTGAATGTTGACGTTACAAGAAATGGCTTAAAGAACTCGTAACCAGGCCATAAACTCCAAAAAAAAAAAACGTTACAGTAAGAAAAATGTTTGCCGCTACTTGCGCACTGTTTTATTTTTGTAATATTGTTTATATGTAATAAATAAACTAGTTCATTTAATTCTACGTACATAGATAACGTTGAGTCGAGCTTGATACTCCGTTATTGTGTTTTTGTGAAATTGTGTATTTGTGAGATATAGACTCGGTGTTGAGACTGACTTTTTGATTTTGTCTTAAATTTCGCGATGAGTTCGCAAAAAGAAAACACCAGAATCTGCTGCATGTGTGGATCTTCACCTTCTAAAGATCCCAGGGTCACTTTGTACCGGTTTCCAAAGCCTGGCCCAAAAAACGCTCAGCGGTATGTACTTTCCATGCTATCCTTCTTAAAACACCACAGTAATATTGTTAATCCAGCTTCTATCTACCACAAACTGACGTAACACACACAACACACAAATACATTATGTGTATATGCATACATACACTTGACTTGAATGTGCTGCGTTGGTGTTGGGTTCGAATCCCGGGTCGACGCAAAAACAGTGTTACATATCGCGCTAACTGTGTCACACCCCAGACCCCGCAACAGTGCATTCTGATGCAGATTTCAGACTCGGCTTCCAGGCAGGTGGTAATGCCCAGCCACCGTCTCTGTTGAAGTTCGGACGCCGGCTTATTTCGATGGCCTCACGTACTTTCCGCGGTACGAAGTATTTTTCCCTCGCTAGTACTGAGACCTTGTCGAAACGGAGGAAGTGAGCCGTGCCCGTACTACAAGCATGCTCAGCTACCGCCGATGTATGGGTGTCTCGGTTTTTCACACTGCGTATGTGTTCTTTCAGTCTGGTTGTGATGTTGCGGCGAGTTTTACATTAAGTGTATATGCATATATACACTTAATGTATTTGATACTCTTTGGTAAAATCCCAACTTTAGTTGCCAAAAATCATTAGGTACATGTACGACCGGCGGGTGGTTATCGTGAAGTTAATATTTCGTTTCCTAGGAAAGCGGTGCCGCTATACTACGGCCGCAATTAAGAGACTTTTAATCCCTGTTTTGCCTTTTTTTCGGTCAGTAGGTAATCTTAGGGGCGGGTTCGGAAATCAAAGCTTTAAGTTCTAGCAACTTTAGCGCTTGTGTATTCGTAAAAAAAATAATTAATGGTATTGGTCAGTGGGTCGTCTTAGGGGCGGAGTTCTAAAATAAATGCCAGTAACAGTTAATTACAGCAATATCAACAACTAATTGCATTTATTTTTTAAATCATTTACTTTTTAAAGTGTTAAGGTTGCTATAGCCTAGCGTCATCATTGCCACCTTTTGCCGGTTGTACAGTACTTACTATGAAAAGTTTTCTTGGTTTCACTACTCTCTTATCTAAAATTTCAATCAAAGCATATACAGATTTGATTTTTATATAGATATAGTTTAAAATGGTGTGTAATTTTGATATTTTTTAATTTCCAGCTGTGAATTATGGGCAAAGTATTGCTTCCCAAACGAACCCTGGTCTTCACCAAAATTCCAGGATGGACTCCATAAACAGCATAAGATGCTATGCAGCAAACATTTTCAAAGCACATGCTTTATTGAGAAGAAGATGTTCAGAACAGCTGTACCCGGTGTGCAATGCCATAAGGTAAGCATCTTTGAAAAGTGTATTTATAACACCTGTCTTAAATTTTACAGAAATATAGACATTATGTTGTGTACAATACAACTGTTGTCAAACATATTCATATTCATATTTATTTGCATTCCACAATGTATAAGAGTTTTACAGAATGGCTTAGAGCTAAGTACAATCGTGGACCCTGTAGGGCACAGCAAAATAAAACTTACATCTAAAATTAAAACAATTAAAATATATATTAAAACAATTAAAATATATATATATGAAAATTCAATAAATGTATCATAGTAATGTGCTTGTTGTTATGTGTTATGTGTTATGTTGTATATGGACAATGTTGTTATCATTTATATATTCATCAATTGAGTAGTAGGCTTTGTTGATGAGGATATTCTTGAGTGCGCTTAAACAAGAGCTAGTATAATGAAATCAAATCAAATTCTTTATTTCAGACCAAAGATCTGTATGTGGTAGTATCACCTTAACCTAATTATTAGTAAATTATTATTATTTTTTTGACCAGTTAACCAAACATGAATATGTTGGGAAACAGCTGATGTTTTTCTTAATTTTTTTTTCTCGAAAATTTGTTCGTTTTGATGAGTATAATGGCCTCTGAAGAGGTTGTTGATGTTTTTCCACCACACTGTATAATTTTTTTTTTGACATATTAATTACATAATCAAGCTTAATTTAATCATACCAATTTACTTATTTAGTATTTATTTTTTTAGTAGAACATAAGCTAACAGTTTACAACCAAATCGCTTATATCTATATTATAGGTACTTACACTACTATTACATTATAATCATTACAATATACAAGTCAATATTAAAAGTATTACAGAATTATTAGAATAAAAGTTTTTATTATAACTTTCGTGAGACATTCTAAATTATTTATTATGTTTTCGGCTTACTCACGTAATAATTTGACGAGATACTCGACTAGTTTCAAGCCATGCTAGAGGCCCATATTCATGAGCAGCATTCCGCGACACGCGACTCGGCGACCGTCTTGACTGAGTAGCAGCGCGACGGTCGCCGAGTCGCGTGTCGCGGAATGCTGCTCATGAATATGGGCCTTTAGCATGGCTTGAAACTAGTCGAGTATCTCGTCAAATTATTACGTGAGTAAGCCGAAAACATAATAAATAGAATAAAAGTTATTACATTATATTCAATATAGTTAATTAGTTATTACAAATAACAAATGGGAATTAAAATGTTTAAATATAGTAGTTATTATTAATTATTATTTCCAATTTAAATATAATCGAACATTATTATCCATAACACTCGCGAATCGTAAAATATATCTGCACCTGGATTCGTCTGAAGGAAACAGTTGATGAGCTTGATAGCTTTGCCAGTGGGAGTGTTATCTGCTTGGCATTGTGTTTGTGCTTGGCTTATAGGTGGCTTACCTTATATATGACTTATATTCAATAAATCTAAAGATTCAAATCAACTTTTCATTTCCAGGGTGAAACAATTTGTAATGTGCCAGATCAACCTGATATATTTGAACCTGTTTCCAGTCCATCCAGAATTCAGGAAGGTAAGTTTTCTTTATTAATACTAATTGTATTTGACCCTTTGTTATATTAATAAGTCGAAGAGTGATGGCCTGAAACACAGGTTTACATAAACCTAGCTCGGGCTGGTCGCTTTAAAATCGTAAGTCCTTGTTAATAACAAGTATTTCATAATTGTGATAATAATAGTATAAGTAGTAATTTAATTACCTTGCGTAATATAAATATTTAAAAATTAACGAAACTACTGTGGTTTATTGGAAACAATCTTTTTGTAAAAAAAGTTATCATTAATTTTTTTATTTATGTTTGTTAGTAGTAAAATATCATTGGTCTGTAATCTCTTTCTTTTCCTAATCAATTCCTCTAGCTTTTATAATCTCTAAACCATATAAACTTGTTTGCTTTTTGCTTGCTTGGGTTTTGATGTTGAAATTGAATGCAATAGGCCTATTGATTTTGTTATTTTTCAACGAAAATGTCTGCAATACCTTATATTTACCTGCAAATCTCCTTGCAAACCTACTCTTTGGTTACATCCTTGTACTTATGGTCCACAGATAATAAAAAGTTACACGCGACCTCGCGCATAATGTCATACTCTGTCGACCATAGATAGATAAAAGTTTACTATTTACTTTTTATTTTTTGTGCTTTTTGTAATAATTTTATTTCAGTTAACAGTAACATTATTTTATCATTTAGTTTATATAATTGGTATAGTTTTTTTTTTCCTTTTTTTGGTATTTTTGATTTTTATGTGTGTGCGCTTGCGCAGAAATAAATGATTCTTTCTTTCTTTATTTATTTTCAAATTTATTTATTTTAAAAAATCATTGCATAGGAACAAATACTTTAAAACCTTTTGTACCATATTTCTGGAAATTTATTTATTCAATAATTCCTTTATTACAGCCAAAGTAAAACAAAAAAAGAAATGGCTTTGCTATCCTAGTGCCAAAACAGAATACTTCTTTAAAGAAATACAAAGCATGGCCATTTCTTTTGTTGGTCTGTCAATCGGATTTTGTTTGGGAAAACAAAAATATGAACACAATATGAACACAAAAAATATAAAAATGGAAAATAAACTAAACAGTTGTTTTTTTTTATTATTTTTATAACTTTCGTGAGACATTCTAAATTAATTATTATGTTTTCGGCTTACCCACTCGCCGAGTCGCGTGTCGCGGAATGCTGCTCATGAATATGGGCCTTTAGCATGGCTTGAAACTAGTCGAGTATCTCGTCAAATTATTACGTGAGTAAGCCGAAAACATAATGATCAGTTGTTTTATTAAAACCCAATTTTTGCATTTAGCCGGTATTTTCCCGTACCGAACTTTGTTCTTACTTTCTTCAGTCAAAATCATTTATTTCAATTAGACCCATATAGTGTCAGTCTGTCGGTATTGATTTTAACATTGATCGGCCTTTCGGAAGGGTGTTACTCCATGGCAAGTGCTATATGACTGTCATATGAGACGAATCGCCGACGTCCGTTATTTTTGTAATTTATTCGGTCTGATTATAAAATCCTACGCCCGGCGATGAACCATGAAGACGACGATCGGGATATTTTTTTAATTTTTATTATTATTGTTTTTAAATGTTAGGGAAAATATATAGTTTTAATTCCGCGACAAAAATCCAGGCTTGTTGCAGGATGCAATCCCACTCTTATGCAATCATGCATATGCACATGCAGCAAAGGTCCCACCCTCCCGCCCACATGCATATGCACACATACACAAAACGGTGTTTCTCTTTTGACTCGACGAGCGCTCGGCTGCGAAATGAGTATAGGTTTGATTGCGTGCCATGTTTTTCCGTTTTGTGTATGTGTGCATATGCATGTGGGCGGGAGGGTGGGACCTTTGCTGCATGTGCATATGCATGATTGCATAGGAGTGGGATTGCATCCTGCAACAAGCCTGGATTTTTGTCGCGGAATTAAAACTATATTTTTTCCCTAACTTTTAATGTCATGGATTTCCGCCAAGTAACGCCTGATTCTATAAATTATATTATTGTTTTTATTAAAAACGTGGCCTACACTAGGATTTTCTCTTGTATTGAAGGGGATAATGGAGGTGCGTTTACAAACATACAATTTCACATACACATCACACACACCCAGACCCGGAACAACAATCTGTGAATCTGTGTGATCCAAAAATTGTTGTTCCGTGCGTGAATCGAACCCGTGACACGTTGCACGGCAGCCAGTGTATGTACCAACCCCCCGGTGCCTTCATATTATATTATATGTTGTTATTTAGTTATTTATATACTAGCTTTTAATCTGTGCAGTTTTTTGTTTGTTATTAGAACAATGTAAAGATAATCCACGTTACCTGTCTTTATTTAACTAAAAACACATGTGTAAGAGGGATTTATTCCGGTGTCGTCACGCGTTCTTGAAGGAAAGCCAGGTCAATGTTGTCAACGTATATTTGGTAAAATAAAATAGGCGCAGTCCCACACAACCCTTTCCGTTTGGACGAAGGTGGCGGATGCAGTCCTCTACTCCGAAAAATTATACAATTATTGAGATAAGAGTATAATATAGTGTCTCAATCTCAAGTGACTATTCCAAGTAGGACGTAGCCCGAGAGTGCACCGTGATAGTAGCCTTTACCAAAACACAAATGTACTGGCGGGGGTCATTAAGTCGCGGAGAATCTTAACACCGCCATGTAAAATATGACGTCATACGCACAACGCCATCTAGTATTAAATTGTGGAGTTACACAATGTAAACGATGAAGTTCACTATTAAAATAGGTTTTACATAATATTATAAATAGTTGTGTTACACATATAATTAAATTAATTTGAATTTTAAACTGTGTGTTTTACTTTGCTATCTGGTCTGAAATCACCACAGCATTGTGTATCGCCGTGTGAGTGAGGTTACCGGAGGCCTAATCCTTTCCCCCCTTTTACCCCTTCCCATCCTAATCCGCAAAAAGGCAATGCACTTGTAACTTCTATATTGTTGCGTGTGTCCATGGGCAGCGCTGATTGCTTACCATCAGGTAATCAGATTGATCGTTAGCAGTTCCATCACATATTTTTTTTTTATCTCTGAATCAATTTTTTTTTTCAGATTTGTTCGTTACGTTTCACGTCATTAGTTATGTCACGTCATCAGTTTTGACAGTTGAGCCTGTGTTGTCTATGAGCGAGCGAGCGGGCATTGGAATTTTGGCGCCAAGCGTGGCAGTGTGACGCCCGCATTGTGAAAATACTAATTAATAAAAGTTTGTGTTCCATCAACTGTCGTTTTTTTTGTTGAAGATTTCCCTCAGATGTGTTTCAGCTATACCACTGGCCCGCCGTCGGACGGGTCCAACCATCTCTCTAACAACGAGAAGGTCACTTTTCCCAACTTTTGACTCTACTTTTATAACATTTTCTTTGATAAGAACCTTCTAGCAAAAATAAAGAATTGCCAAAATTGGTTCAGGCGTTGTTAAGTTATGCGGTATATAATTATTATTATTTTGTTCCAGAGAAATATGCAGTAAAATCTGATGTCGATAATGATCTCGGAGACGTCCAGAATGATTTCGAAGATGAACAAGCCACCTCCAGCTTAATTGAGACCCCGGCATCCTTAGGTAAGTACCATAAAAGTCAAATTTATTAATCTAAGTAAGATTATTAAATTTGTTCCTTTCTTATTAATATACATATCATAAATGAGAATATTACACACTCCAAAACGGCTGGACGGGTTTGGATGAACTGATCTCCACTCCGGAATAGGACATAGGCTACTTTTAATCAACATACGCAGGCGAAGCCACGAGCAGTAGCCAGTTATAAATTTACAAGTTTGTGTGTCAGTCTGTCCTCTAGTGAAGCTATGTATTTGCTCTTTGCCCAGGCCAGATTACCTCATTGCGCTTACCCCGCAACCCCGGCTGAACATCAGCCCTATGGGGCCCCGTCTGTGGTGGTCTATTGGGTCTTTAAGGCGCGCGCGGAACGCTACGCGCCGTACGCTCGGGCCTGGTTCTGGTCGGGCGGCGAGCTACCCTTACTCGACGTCCGCAGACCGGAGATCGTCTCTCGAACAAAACATCTCCATGCTCGTGCTTGAATCAATAACATTTTTAATTATTTTTTTTTCGCAGTTTATAAACGCAAATACAGCCCTGGAACCCCGATATGCAGAGCTTGTCTGACTACGCGTAGGAAAGTCTACAGCATACAGGATTCTGATGTCCTGGATGCATATCAAAGTCTGTCAGGAACGGAGGTAAGTAATAATTGGGTGATTCTTCACATCAATTAAAAAAAAAAATAATGTCATTATCCACAACCGAAAATTAACGAGTCTGCTGATTAAAACACAGATAATTATTTTATTAAATTAAATCTCACCACTGCTTACAAGCAACCGATTAAAAATATTGTATAAAATAAATTACTAAGATGCTTAAAAACCTGAGAGGATAATGACTTTTTAAATAAAAGTTAAGGTTTTTTGGAGAATCACCCAATTATGTTTGTGGGGATTTCGAAAATCCCACAGAACCTTAGGACCAGGATGTTTAACCAGTGGCCGGTGATGACGTATTGTAACTTCTGGCCTTCTTGGTAAACTCAGCGCGCGATGGAACGGACGAAGTTGACCACAGCAAGTGGAGAAGTCGTTGTCTCGAAGCCGGCAGTTCTTTCGGAAGTAGAAAACTTCTACGGCCGGTTATACGCTTCGCATGCATCTCGACCTGACCCCGGAAATGAGGACTCTAGAGCCACTTTAATACGCCATTACACCGAAGACCTGCCAGAAGTCAGCATTGACGAAATCGAGATCGCTCTTGGACAGCTTAAAAATGGAAAAGCCCCTGGAGAGGATGGCGTTACGACAGAGCTTCTAAAAGCAGGCAGCAAACCGGTACTCAGGGAGCTGCAAAAGCTATTTAACGCTGTCCTGTTTGAAGGGAGAACTCCAGAGGCGTGGAGTCGGAGTGTGGTCGTCTTATTCTTCAAAAAGGGTGACAAAACCCTACTGAAGAATTATCGACCCATTTCCCTTTTAAGCCACGTCTATAAGCTGTTCTCGAGAGTGATCACGAACCGCCTTGCGCGAAGACTTGACGAATTCCAACCACCGGAGCAGGCTGGGTTTCGGAGCGGATACGGCACCATAGACCACATCCACACAGTGCGGCAGATTATACAGAAGACTGAGGAGTATAATCAGCCCCTGTGCCTAGCATTTGTGGACTATGAGAAAGCCTTTGACTCGGTCGAAATCTGGGCTGTTCTGGAGTCCCTGCAGCGATGCCAAGTAGATTGGCGATACATCCAAGTGATGAGATGTCTCTACGAGGCCGCCACCATGTCCGTCCAAGTACAGGATCAGCAAACAAGGCCGATACCGTTGCATCGAGGTGTGAGACAAGGGGATGTTATCTCCCCGAAATTGTTCACAAATGCAATGGAGGATATGTTCAAGACGCTGAACTGGAAAGGACGCGGCATCAACATAAATGGCGAGTACATCTCTCACTTGCGATTTGCAGACGACATCGTCATCGTAGCAGAAACGCTGCAGGACCTACAACGGATGCTGAATGACCTGGCTGACTCTTCTATACGCATCGGCCTACGGATGAACTTGGATAAAACCAAGGTCATGTTCAATGAACATGTACTACCGGAACCGATTGCAGTACACGGCGCTGTTCTCGAAGTCGTTCAAAAATATGTATACCTCGGGCAGACATTGCAGATGGGTAGAAACAACTTCGAGAACGAGGTGAATAGAAGAATTCAGCTAGGTTGGGCAGCATATGGAAAGCTGCGTCAAGTCTTCACGTCGTCGATCCCACAGTGCCTAAAGACGAAAGTCTTCAATCAGTGCGTCCTACCTGTCATGACATACGGAGCCGAAACGTGGACACTGACGGTGCGGCTGGTTCACAAGCTAAAAGTCACTCAGCGAGCTATGGAGAGGGCTATGCTCGGCGTTTCTCTGCGAGATCGAATCAGAAACGAGGTGATCCGGCAGAGAACCAAGGTAATCGACATAGCCCACCGGATTAGCAAGCTGAAATGGCAGTGGGCTGGCCATATTAGCCGAAGAACCGATGACCGTTGGAGTAGACGAGTTCTTGAGTGGAGACCGCGTCTCGGCAAACGTAATGTAGGACGTCCTCAGGCAAGGTGGAGTGATGATTTGCGCAAGATGGCTGGCAGGAGCTGGATGCGAGTGGCCGAAGATCGATCCCAGTGGCGTGCAATAGGAGAGGCCTATGTCCAGCAGTGGACTGAAAAGGGCTGATGATGATGATGATGATGATGGAACGGGTTATGCTCGGAGTCTCTTAACGCGACAAAATCCTAAATGTGGAAATTCGCCAAAGAACCAAAGTCAACGACATAGCTCGTAAAATTTGCGGGCTAAAGTGGCAATGGGCAGGCCACGTCGCTCGAAACACGGACGGTCGATGGGCCCGAAAACTGCTAGAGTGGTGACTAAGGACCGGAAAACGTAGCGTGGACAGGCCTCCCACTAGGTGGACCGACGACATCGTCAGAGTCGCGGGGAGACAATGGATCCAGGTGGCAACTTGTCCTTCGACGTGGAGAGCTGAGGGGGAGGCCTTTGTCCAGCAGTCGACGTTTTCCGTCTGATGATGATGATGTTGATAATTATATTTCCTTCACCGTATGTCAGTGGTGTCTAAATAATCATAGAAAGTACATATAACTCGGAAAATGTCACATTCGTACTTGCCTTGGTTACACTTTCTCGTGCCAACTCAAACGAGCAGACTGATTACCTGATGGTAAGCAATCAGCGTCGCCCATGAACACCCACAATGAAGACCAGAGGAGTCTTGCCAGCCTTGCAACAAGGATTGGGGAAGGATTTACATTACCGAATACTTTTTTGAATTCCAGGTCTCTGAAGATGACCGTCTACCGAACTGGCTCTGCAGCCATTGCATTATTTTACTACGGAAATGCAAGAGGTTCATCCAAAGCTGCAAGGAAGCTGTGAAGGAATTGAGTGAAGCCTTATCTACTGGCTATGTAAGTGAAATATATTTTATAATCCCTCCTCAATCCCTAAATCTCGAAATCACTAATCTCTGAAAGGTCGGCAACGCACTCGTAACTCCTCCGTTGCGAGTGTCAATGGGCGGCGCTAATTGCTTACCATCAGGTTATCCGTCTGCTCGTTTGCCGACCTATTACATAAAATATATATATATATATATATATATATATATATATATATATATATATATATATTATACAGGGGGTCAGGCTGTCCCTTACTGTATATCTATATTTATATAATCCGGCTTCTCTAATCTGGAGTGTATGCTATGCCTGTGCCACATTTCATTCGATCAGACATTGTAATTTTCGCATTTTTAATATTAGTATTTTCATAGAAGTACTAGCTACTCTCGCGCGGTTTCACCCGCTGCTCGGCTCCATTTAATCGTAGCGTGATGCTTTATAGCCTATAGCACTCAGGAACATTGTAGCTATCGATCAGTGAAAGAATTTTGACAATCCGACCAGCGGTTCCAAAGATTACCCCCTACATACAAACTTACAAATTTTACCTCTTTATAATATTAGTATAATAACCAGATGGTAAGCAATTAGCGCTGCCCATAAGCGGATGTCCAAATACCGGAGGAGTTACGTCGCTGGGATTTGAGGATTGGAAGATTGGGACGGATTACCTGATGGTAAGCAATCAACGCCGCCCATGGACACCCGCTACAACATAGGAATTAAAAATGTTTTGATGACCTCTTGGGGATTAGGATTTCCAAATCTTTAATACCTAAATCCCTAATTTGGAGATTTAGGCATTAGGTGAGGGGAAGGAGGCCTCCGGTAACCTCACTCACACGGCGAAACACAACGCTCTGGTTGTTTCACGCCGGTTTTCTGTGAGGCCGTGGTATCACTCCGGTTGAGCCGACCCATTCGTGCCGCAGCATGGCTCTCCCACACTTATATGTTATAATCCAAACTAACATTATAAATGCGAGAGTAACTCTGTCTGTCTATCTTTTCTTCAAGCCTAAACTTCTGAACCGATTTGTGTGAAATTTGATACAGACATAGTTTGGTCAAAACCTCGAGGAATATAGGATAGTTTTTATTTAATCAAAAATCTGCAGAAAGTCATTATAACTATTGGGTAGTTTCCTAGGTCAAAAATAAATTATTTCGACGTTTCAATACATTAAAATATTGAAAAATAACTATACTTTTATTCATCGATCGATCGATATACTAATTTTTAGATTTTTTTAGCTAATTATTAAGAAATAAGTAAGCTATTTGACGCAAAAAAAGTTATGACGTCATAGCTCAGTTTTTCATAAAAATTTCATAGAAAAGTATCGTTTTTGACATTTGGATAAAAGGATTGAATTTGACTAGTTAGAAACTACCGGATTCCACGCGAACAAAGTCGTGGGCAAAAGCTTGTAAGTAGGTAATTTAATAAATTTGTTCTTTTCAGATAGTGGACGCTCGAAAATTTGAAAACTGTAGATACGAGAGATCAGAAATAACAAACATTGATATCGTTGAAGCAGAAAATGTTGAGTTAACAGAAAAACCAGATGAAGAAGTTGTATTTAATGATGCAGGTATTTATTTATTTAAACTTCATGCACAATGGTACATAGGCGGACTTAATGCCTTAGGCATTTTCTACCAGTCGAGCCTTGAGTGATGCAGAGATGAGCCAATGGTCGGTGCAAGAAGCAAGCAAATAGACTAGGGATGTTATGGATATGAAATTTCGGATACGGATTTATTACGGATATAGGAATGATTATTATACCGGATACGGATATGAAATTATTTCGGATTATCCGTTAGTTTCGGATAATTTCGGTTACGGATATTAAAGTTTTAAAGAAGTAAAATACAAACATAACGTGTCTCAATTAGGCTCTACCCCTAACCGATATTATACGGAACTTTTATTTCGGATTCGGTTACGGTTACGGATATTTTTTTATACCGGATATCCGATAGTTTCGGTTACGGTTATTTAGCTCCCTAACATGCCTGAAATAGACTTAAATTTAAATGAGTGAAGACGAGATAGATACATATATATGTGCAAATATTTACATATAAGTTACAATATAATATATATAAACTAAGTACTCAAATTACATAATATATTTATAAATAATATATACATTTATATATCCAGCTTTTTCTTAACTTGCTATATAATTATTTATTTATTTATTTATTTATTTATTATAGGCTTCTCAACAATGAGTACACTATACTATATAATTTGTACATTTCAAACTTAATTCTAAGTGCCCCATTACTTATAGAGAAGCACAGCATGCACTATAATATTATGCGCGGGTAATAAAATAATTAATCGATTTTGAATAAATAATACATTATCAGAAAAGTTAAATTGAAGCTGAATTGATTACAAAAAATAAAATCTGAATTAGATACTTAACACACAAAATTAAATTAAAATTAAGTAAAATAGATTAGATTTTAAAAATTAAATTAAAATTAATTATATAGTCTACTAGTTTCCGCCAGCGGTTTCACCCGCGCGCTATGCAATAGAAGAAACTCGAAGTATACATGAAATCAGTTATTAATCGTCTCATTTTTATGAGTACATCTCGAAGCCGGGGCGGGTCGCTAGTCTATACTAATATTATAAAGCGGTAAAATTTGTAAGTTTGTATGTAGGGGGTAATCTTTGGAACCGCTGGTCGGATTGCCAAAATTCTTTGTATTTATTAATTGTATAAAACATCACGCTACAATTCAATGGAACCGAGCAGAGGGTGAAACCGCGCGAGAGTAGCTACGAGGGGCGTTCAATGTATTCTCGGTATAGGCATGAAAGAAAACTCGGAAAATTTTGGAAAAAATCTATTTTTCAATGTAGTCCCCTAGACCCTCAATACATTTGTTAGATCGGGGAATTAGCTTCTTTAAGTCTTGTAAAAAATATTCTTCTGGCTTCTCCTCAAAATGGGTATTAATAGCTACCTTCAGTTCATCATCGTCGAAAAATCGCTTTCCACGAAGATCTTTCTTCAAATTCGAGAATAGGTAGTAATCACTGGGGGCCAAGTCTGGACTGTACGGAGGATGATTAATTTCTTCGAAGCCACAGTCCCGTACAGCAGCCCTCGCCACGCGGGCCGTGTGAACCGGCGCGTTGTCATGAAGCAGCAACACCCCCGCTGTGAGTTTTCCTCGCCTTTTTTCTTTAATTGCTTCCCTTAAATTACGCAAAGTGGTTGCGTATGATGCTGCTATGATGCTTTCACCTTTTTTATTGTATTCTATTAATAAAATACCTTTAGAATCCCAAAAGATCGTGGCCATAATTTTTCGGCGGAAGGGGTGACATTGAACTTCATCGGAGGCTGTGCACTCTTTTTAACCCACTGCATGGACTCCTGTTTACTCTCAGGTTCATAGTGATGAACCCACGTCTCATCTCCAGTAACCAGCCGGTCGAAAATACTCGATGGATCTTCTGCACAGAGCTCCAAAAACTCCTTACAGCACTCGACTCGCACTTGTTTCTGAGGTGCGGTGAGCATTCTCGGCACCCATCTTGCACTGACCTTTGAGAGATTAAGATGGTCATGATATGGTCATGTATGGTACCCACATATAGGTTAATCATCTCTGCTAACATCCCGATTTTTATTCTGGTATCTTCAAGTACCAATTTCTCCACTTTTTTAACATTTTCTTCAGTGAGGGCGCTTACGGGCCCACCCGAGCGAGGGTCGTCTTCAATGCTTTCTCTGCCTCTTTTAAATTCACTTGACCACTTTTGAACGGTGGATAACGACGGGGCAGAGTCTTGGTAAACAGCAACCATCTCTTCGTGAATGGTTTTTTGACTTTTTCCCTGCTTAGTGAGGAACTTTATAACAGCGCGATGCTCGGATTTTCTTAATCATTGTAGCGTCAGTCATTCTGATCGTCTTTCACTGCAGATAATTAGAAAACTAATGAACGTAAATAAGTGGAATTTTATATTTATACCCTCAGATAGTGTCATTAGTAAATGAGATAATTAGATTACCCACATTATTAGCAAATCACCCCGATACCGAGAATACATTGAACGCCCCTCGTAGTTCTTATTAATAATGTAAATGTGTTTTATTTTCTAAATTCTTGAAATTTCTTATATTAATAGTGACTTGTAACTTATTTTAATAATTATTAGTATTGTAACCCTGTATTCGACACAAATTTATTTTTGTTCAGAATAAATAAATAAATAAATATAAAACATCACACTACGGTCTGTAGGACCCGAGCAACGGGTGAAACCGCGCGAGAGTAGCTAGTCCAAACTAATATTATAAATGCGAAAGTAACTCTGTCTGTTTGTCTTTTCTTCACGCCTAAACTACTGAACCGATTTCTGTGAAATATGGTACAGACATAGTTGGGAACTCGAGAAAGGACATAGGATAGTTTTTATACCAAAAATCTGCATAAAGTTACTATTCCACGCGAACGGAGCCGCGGGCAAAAGCTAGTGATAATTATAATTAACGATTACATATTATTTATTTCACAGATGAAATTGTAAACGAGGAAGTCGTCGAAGATGTTGAAAACAAAGATCCGGATTTGTTATTATTTGATAAAAAAATTTTTCGCAGCAATCAGACTCTACGTATCCTGTCGGATCCGATCAAGTTGGAGGAATTTCAGAATTTATATCATGTCGATGCACATAAGCTTAGCCACGAAGAGAAGATGCAAGATGTACTCGACAGAAGGGACAGAACCAATTACTTGAATAGCCCTTTTAAATGTGATATGTGTTTTAAAGGATTTATGGCTGAGGATTTTTTGTATAATCACATTCGACGTGCACATTCGGTGAGTTTTTTTCTGTTTTTTTTTTTTTTTTTTGAAAAACTGTCCCACTTTAGGATTTTCTCCTTTGTTGTGGGTGCGTTTACAAACAAACAATGTCACATACACATCACACCTAGACCCGAAACAACAATTTATGGATCACACAAAGTGTTGTTCCGTGCGGGAATCGAACCCGCGACACGTTGCACGGCAACCAGTTGCCCAGCCACCGCACTAACCGTGCAGTCAAACGAAAATTCAAAAATCTATATTTACTGTTATAAAGCTGCAGTGTGATTCTGTAAGACTTCATTCTAAACTTGGAATCAGAATCCGCTGTGAGTAGTAGTACACTAGCGCTACACTTGCGAGTTGAACTAAATTGATAGCAACATTTTGATAGATAAAGTTTGAGATGACGTTAAAAGTGGCATTCTATAATGTAATTTCCCCGTCCCTTCAGCAAACAACTGTGGTTCTTTCACGCCGGTTTTCTGTGAGGCCGTGGTATCACTCCGGTCGAGGCGACCCATTCGTGCCGAAGCTTGGCTCTCTCGCACGTGTTTTAAAACATATTATTACTAAATCAATTCAGCTCTATAGTCAAAATCATTTATTCCAAATACCATATACCCTTACAGGCACTTTTGAACGTCAAACAAAGCTTAAAGATATAAAGTGTCAGTCTGTCGGTCAGTCCTCTAGTGAAGCTATTTGCTCGTTCCAAAGTGTAGATTCCGATGGAGAAGAACGAGCAAGAAACTCCATCATCATCATCAATCTGTTGTAGTCCACTGCTGGACATAGGCCTCCCCAATTGCACGCCATTGAGCTCGATGTTCAGCTCTTCTCATCCAACCACTGCCAGCCACCCTGCGGATGTCGTCAGTCCACCTAGCTGGAGGGCGCCCTACACTACGTTTGCCTAGACGTGGTCTCCACTCTAGAACAAGTTTACCCCAACGGTCATCGGTTCTTAGAAACTCCATGGTTACTCTTTTTCAGTCGGAATACAATATAAAAGGTGATCTGAAAAAAAAATGTTTTTTTTATGTAATAGGTTGGCAAACGAGCAGACGGATTACCTGATGGTAAGCAATCAGCGCCGCCCATGGACAGCCGCAACGGAGGAGTTACGAGTGCGTTGCCGACCTTTTAGGGATTTGGGATTTGGAGATTTAGGGATTGGGGAAGGGTCCAGGAAGGGGAAGGATTGGGCCTCCGGTAACTTCACTCACAAGGCGAAACACAACGCTGTGGTTGTTTCACGCCGGTTTTCTGTGAGGCCGTGGTATCACTCCGGTCGAGCCGACCCATTCGTGCCGAAGCATGGCTCTCCCACACTTAAAACTTGTTTATTTTTTAGGAAAGCAATCCAGAGATGTGTGAGTTTTGTAAGAACAAGTACCGCACGCAGCGTGAACTGGCTCTCCACTATATCCAGCAACACACGGTCAAAATATCGTGTCGGCTATGTCCACGGATAACCCGAACTATGTAAGTATAATCATAATTCTTTATTGCATCCACAATGTAAGATAATATGTATAGTCACAATCATGGACCCTGATGGGCACAGCAAATGGTAAATTAGAAGAGAGGCAGGCTTTTTTCATATAGAATTATGCTCAATTATTTACATACTATTATATATACATATAATACATTACATACATATAAAAATCAATGCCACTTTTCGTTGTAATATTATAACTCGACAATGCCTGGCTAATTTTGGTCTTGAATTATTCGTGGAAGTCCAGAGAAAATTAAAAAAAAATCTTTAAAAAAGTGTAAAATCGACATCCACGCGGGCAACCGCTAGTGCATTGCATAAAAATGTGTGGCGAAATTAATCTCTATCCTTATGTAATCTATACTTCTATACTAATATTATAAAATTTGTAAGTTTGTATGTAGGGGGTAATCTTTGGAACCGCTGGTCGGATTGCCAAAATTCTTTCACTGATAGATAGCTACAATATTCCTGAGTGCTATAGGCTATAAAACATGACGCTACGATCTAATGGAGCCGAGCAGCGGGTGAAACCCCGCAAGAATAGCTAGTGTATATTATTATGATATTAATTTTCATATTTATTTTTGTTTTATCTTTTCATTATATTTTCCTCATCACAAAAAAGACAAGCGGGTTTTGTTTTTTTAACTATGTTTTTTTTTTATTTATTTCCAGTGTTGAAGCGAAGAAACACTTCATTGAATTTCACCAAAGAAAACTCTCAACTACCTGTGAATACTGCGGACTGGAATTCTGGTGAGTGATCAAATTCTCAACGAAATCGGTTCAGCCGTTCTTGAGTTTAAATAGTGTTAGCATTTAGCATTCCTTTCTTTTATATATAGATACATTAACTAATGCCTGCGGCTTCGTCCGCGTGGTATGTTGATATAAAGCATATGTGTCTGTTCAGGGTATAACCTATCTACATAAAAAATTGCAACCAAATCGATTCAGCCGTTTTTGCGTGAACGTATGACAAACATACGTACATATATTCTCACAAAGTTTCACATTTATTATATTTCCAAAGAAACTTTGCTCAATAGTTTTATTTGTATAACTACTTATAACGAAGATTGCGTTTGCGCGCGCGCCGTGCGTCGCCCGATCAGCTGTTAGCGGCGAGGCCCCGCGCGACCTCGTTTGAACTTTACACAGTAATACGGTAGTTTCCAACTAGTCAAATTCAATACTTTTGTACAAACGTCAAAAACTATACTTTTCTATACTCGGAATTTTAATTCCATTCCAGATTTGACAATTTCAGTGTTGCAGCGTTATGACACGAAATAAATAGTGACGTTGCGAAATTATTCGATATGGAAATCGAATATTTCTGAATCGACTCCTCTCGTTTATAAATGTAATCTTGTAAACTAATTTTATCAGGAAATAAAATATTTCTGAACCGATAATTTAGTTTTGACGATCTGAGAGTTTTCTTTTGTAATTGTGTGTGAAATTAATAAAAAATGTGATCATGAAGGAACATGACAAATAAAACAGAAATTTTATAAATTGTCGCCGTCATCGCTATCGCTATCGCTGTTACTTTCTGTAACATTTATTATGAATTGTGTCTGTGATATTTATTGTCAATTAACATATCTAGCTAACTCATTTTTTCCTCTTCTTTGACAACATGGGATACGCATTTAGACCATTCGATAGCCGTAATTTTTTGACTGCCTTCCTGAAACTGATTCACTGATTGTTTATCGATTTTTGTGTTCATCACTACACTGATAAATGTGATATCATTATTTCACAAAATGACAATAGGTCATGTCAAATCAGGAATCGAATTAAAATTCTGACTATATGAAATTTGTATGAAACACTGAGTCATGACGTCATAGTATATGTGGATCAAATAGCTTACTTATTTCTTAAAAAATAGCAAAAAGAAAATCTAAAACTTAGTGTATCGATCGATCGATGAATAAAAGTATAGTTATTTTTCAATATTTTATTGTATTGAAACATCAAATTAATTTATTTTTGGCATAGGAAACTACCCAATTTCGTTATAGTAATAAAAATAATTGGGTGGTGGTGGCCCAGAGGTTAAGGAGCCTACTTCTCATTCATGAGGGTGTGGTTTCGAAACCTGGCAAGTACCAATGTGACTTTTTCCGAGTTATATGTACTTTCTATGATTATTTAGACACCACTGACATACGGTGAAGGTAAACATCGTGAGGAAACCTGGACTTGTAATTTGTAATTATAAGTTTGAAATCGCCAACCCGCATTGAGCGAGCGTGGTGATTAATGCTCTAACCTTCTCCGTGTGAGAAGAGGCCTTTGCTCAGCAGTGGGCACTTATAGGCTGATGATGATGATGAATAAAAATAAAAGAAAGGGAAAAGTTTCTTTGGGAAAGTCGTTTTGTTATAATGAGTACAATGACGTGTTTAAAAGTGTGGGAAAGCCATGTTTCGGCACGAATGGGTCGGCTCGACTTGAGTGATACCACGGACTCACAGAAAACCGGCGTGAAACAACGACAGTGTTGTGTTTCGCTGTGTGAGTGAGGTTACCGGAGACTCAATCCCTCCCCAGTTCTTAAATCTCCAAATCCCTAATCCCTAAAAGGTCGGCAACGCACTCGTAACTCCTCCGTGGCGGGTGTCCATGGTCGGCGCTGATTGCTTACCATCAGGTAATCAGTCTGCTCGTTTGCCGACCTATCACATAAAAAAAAAATATCGATCACTAATCACCAGTCTGCCTATATACCTATGTGTTACAGATATTTTATTTTTTATTTTCAGTTCGACGCCGAAATATCTTCAGCACGTCAACGACGTACATCCGAATGAACTGATCTGGTGTAATATGTGCGGACATTTGTTCATTCGAGAGGTCAGTCTCGAGAAGCACAAGAAAAGACGTCATCGTAATGTAAGTATCGTTTTATGGCAAGCGATCGGAACCGCCCATGGACACTTGTTATAGAATAATAAATGAAAAATTTGAAAAATACCCCCGACACAAAAGACTACCTTTTAAAACCTTTTAAAAGTATATAATATGAAAAAACTTAATTGAAATCGTTTCATCCGTTCAGGAGGTATGATGCCACAGACACACAGACAGACACGTCTAACTTATTAAAGTTTTTGTTTTTTGTGACGGTACAAGTCATAACCTTTCATTTGATACCCCACTTGAGCATATTTGCAGACATTCGGTTTTTCTTCCCCACTTTAATCCCCTATAAACCCACAGACAGACAGAAACGTCAAACTTATAACACCCCTCTTTTTGCGTCGGGGGTTAAAAAGGAGTTACTACAAGTGCTTTGGTGGCCCCTTGTCGGTTATTAGAGATTTGGGTCTTGAAGGATGGCTATAAACGAATGGTGACGAATGATTTATGTGTCGAAGAGCTTCGGCACGAATGGGTCGGCTCGACCGGAGTGATACCACGGCCTCAGAGAAAACCGCCGTGATACAACCACAGCGTTGTGTTTCACCGTGTGAGTGAGGTTATCTGTGTACCTCCAATCCCTACCCCTCCCCCCATTCCCTCCGAGTCCTTAAATATCCGAAACCTTTACCTCTAAAAGGCCGGCAACGTACTCGTAACTCCTTTGGTGTTGTGTCCATGGGCGGCGCTGATTGATTGCTTACCATCAGGTAATCCGTCTGCTCGTTAGCCTACCAAAACTATAAAAATAATAATAAATGAGGATGGCTTTTAAGGTTTTTTGTATATGACATTGTTTTACGAATGACGACTCGTGATAATTACCCTTGCTGCATGTGCATATGCATGATTGCATAGGAGTGGGATTGCATCCTGCAACAAGCCTGGTTTTTTGTCGCGGAATTATAAACTATATATTTTCCCTAACATTTAATGTCATGGATTTCCGCAAAGTAACGCCTGATTCTATAAATTATCGTGATAATTAACTTAATTATTATTAAAATCGTAAATGTTGTAAACAGCTCCATCTGTCGGCATCGTGTCCCCACTGCGAGGTCCAGCTGGTGGACGGCGCGGCGCTGGACAGCCACTTGTTCCCCGGCATCTGTAGCCGCTACACGTGTGTACACTGCGGGGCCGGACACTCCGACGCCATGCGACTGCGGAACCATATCGTCAAGGCACACAACAAAAGGAACGTCACACGTTTTACTTGTCCAAAGGTAAGGAGTGATACCACGGCCTCACAGAAAACCGGCGTGAACAACCACACCGTTGTGTTTCGCTGTGTGAGTGACGTTACCGGAGGCCCAATCCTTACCCACCCCCCAATCCCTCCTCAATCCCTAAATCTCCAAATCCCTAATCCCTAAAAGGTCGGCAACGCACTCGTAATTCCTCCGTTGCGGGTGTCCATGGGCGGCGCTGATTGCTTACCATCAGGTTATCCGTCTGCTCGTTTGCCAATCTATTACATAAAAAAAAGGGTTATTCGGTGATAAACAAAATTTTGGTCTCGTGAATTTCATGATTTTTTTTTTTGAGCTCCCCCTGTCCTTGTCACATGTCGTCACATTTTATAAACCCCCTAGATTTTTTATGTCTGTGATATTTATTGTCAGTTAACATATCTAGCTTACTCATTTTTTTCCACTTCTTTAACAACATGGGATACGCATTTAGACCATTCGATAGCCGTATATTTTTAACCGACTTCCTGAAACTGATTCACTGATTGTTTATCGATTTTTTGTGTTCATCACTACACTGTTATATGTGGTATCATTATTTCACAAAATGACAGTTGCCAATGTCAAATCTGGAATCGAATTAAAATTCTGATTACTTATAGTCTATGAATTTGGTTTGGAAAACAGAAATGCTTCCCCTATCTTTGTCACAGGTCGTCATATTTCAGAGACCCCCCCTCTCTAATTTTTTTTTGTCAGGGACAAAAATCATCAAATGACTTCTCCCCCGCCCAGGGCCGGGATGTGAAACTCTTATTGATTAAAAACTCCCCCGTTCCTTCTCCTGCTCTACGCCGAGGTCGCGGTGCCTCATTGCGCTTACCCCTCCACCCCGGCTGAACATCAGCCCTATAGGGCCCCGTCTGTGGTGGTCTATTGGCTCTCTGAGGCGCGCGCGGAACGCTACGCGCCGTACGCTCGGGTCTGGTTCTGGTCGGGCGGCGAGCTACCCTTACTCGCCGACTGCAGACCCGCGCTCTAAGTGGCCAGAAATCATCAACAAAACAATTTAATTAAGGGCTGTTTTTTCAATGGTTAGATAAAAGTTACCTGTGGAATAATTATGATGCTGTCGCGTCAAAATGTTTGTATAAGACAGTGACAGCAACAATTTTATTTCTCAGATAACATTTATCTGACTATTGAAAAATCAGCCTTAAACAGTGTTGTCCTAAAGATAGGAGACGAAAATATTTTTAGGGCGCTGCAGCCCTGTCTAATATCTATCACCCCCTTTCTTACCTGGTTTTTAACACTCGCCTATAGAGTAGCGTTACCTATTTTTTTTTTAAAAAAAAAAACGTTGCCTCACACTTGGATTTACTCCTGTGTCGTGGGTTACAAATATACAATTTCACATACACATCACACCCAGACCCACGGAACAACAATCTGTGGATCACACAACACAGTTGTTCCGTGCGAAAATCGAACCCGCGACACGTTGCGCGGCAGCCAGTTTCCCAGCCACCGCGCCAACCGTGCAGTCTAGTTACTAACAATTTATTTTTATTTGTCCACAGTGTAATAAGGTGTACAAACAAGGCGCTCATTTACAAAATCATCTCAAGTATGTACATTACAAGGTCAACAGGAAGGTCGTCTGCGAGATCTGCGGCGTTGTAGTCGCTGTAAGTAATTTGTGTAATATAAATAATATACTACTTCACCCACCCTACCCTAATCTACTCTACCTACCCTACTCTATCTACCGTACTCTATCTACCCTACTCTACCTACCCTACTCTACCTACCCTACTCTACCTAACCTACTTTACCTAACCTACTCTATCTACCCTACTCTACCTACCCTACTCTACCTACCCTACTCTACCTACCCTACTCTACCTGCCCTACTCTACCTACCCTACTCTACCTACCCTACTCTACCTACCCTACTCTACCTACCCTACTCTACCTACCGTACTCTACCTACCCTACTCTACCTACCCTACTCTACCCACCCCTACATACAAACTTACAAATTTTACCTCTTTATAATCATTAGTATAGATTTGCAAAAATAAATTCATTGTTTCATTTGTCTCGTTATTCAATAAAAATGTTCTTTTTAACCCCCGACGCAAAAAGAGGGGTGTTTTAAGTTTGACGTGTCTGTCTGTCTGTCTGTCTGTCTGTGGCATCCTGGAGCATGAACGGGTAAAGCGATTTCAATTTAGTTTTTTTTGTATTAAAGGTGACTTACGTGCGAGTGTTCTTAGACATGTTTGACGAAAATCGGTTGAGCCGTTTAGAAGTTATGGGGGGGGTAAGTGGGGGAAGGGTAACCGAAGGTCTGCAAATACACTCGAGTGGGGTGTCAAATGAAAGCGAACTGAAAGGGAAGGTTGATGACTTAATCGAAAGAAAGTTATAGAAAAAGTATAAAAAAAAAAATGATCGGTCCCCAACGCCAAGTTTTCTTTTAATTATTACTTTTAAAAAGGAATGTTATATTTTTAGTCGGAGGTTTTCAAAATTTTAAATTTTAAATGGTTATTTTATTTTCAGACTAACGCGTCATTGAAGGTTCATATGCGGCACCACACGGGCGAGCGGCCATACCAGTGCCCCGTCTGTATGAAGGGATTCATGAGCCAAACTAGTATGATGGTGAGTCCATTTTGTTCCTTTCATCGCATACGTCGGCAAACGAGCAGACGGGTTACCTGATGGTAAGCAATCAGCGCCGCCCATGGACACCCGCAACGGAGGAGTTACGGAGTGCGTTGCCGGCCTTTTGGGGGATAGGGGTTGCGGATGTAAGGATCGGAAAGGGATGGGAGAAGGGGCGGTATTGGGCTTCCGTTAACCTCACTCACACGGCGAAACACAACGCTGTGGTTGTTTTACGCCGGTACCTATTCTGTGAGGCCGTGGTATCACTCCGGTCGAGCCGACCCATTCGTGCCGAAGCATGGCTCTCCCACACTTAAATTTTATTATGATAATTGGATTACCTGATGGTAAGCAATCAGCGCAGCCCATGGACACCCACAACGGAGGAGTTACGGAGTGCGTTGCCGATTTTGGGGATAAGGGTTTTGGATATTTTGGGATTGGGGAGGGATCTCTATATTGTTTAGTCTTGTGTGAGGGAAAAATCATCAAATGACGTCTTCAGCCCAGGGTTGGCCGAGAGAGTGTCTCGACTCTTACTGACTAAAATTATTTATATATTTTGTATTGCGCTTACCCCGCGGCATATTTAGTCCAAGGATTTTTTATCGTATAGGATAGACAAACAGACGACTTACCTGATGGTAAGCAATCAGAAACGTCCATGGACATCCGCAACACCAAAGGAGTTACGACTGCGTTGCCGGCTTTTTAGAGATAAGGGTTTCGGATATTTAGGAGCCCACCCATTCGTGCCGAAGCATGGCTCTCCCATACTTTAATTGGCGTTTCTGATAAAAGATTGATTTTAATTTTATTTTTTTGATTTCAGCGTCATCGCAATACAGTGCATACGACCCTTCGTCCATTTGTCTGCGAAAGATGTCCGAAGGCTTTTAAGAAAAAAGACAGTCTTTTGAGTCATGAACAGGTAAGTTTTGTTTTGTTCGGCTCGACCGGAGTGATACTACGGCCTCACAGAAAACCGGCGTGAAACAACCACAGCGTTGTGTTTCGCCGTGTGAGTTAGGTTACCGGAGACCTAATCCTAATCAATTTGTATGAAACATTGAATTATGACGTCATAGCATTTTTGAGTCAAATAGCTTACTTGTTTTTTAAAAATTAGTTAAAAAATATCTAAAACTTAGTGTATCGATCGATCGATGAATAAAAGTATAGTTATTTTTCTATATTTTATCGTATTAAAACGTGGAATTAATTTATTTTTTACCTAGGAAACTACCCAATTAAACATAAATTAAAAATTTTAAAATACCCCCAACACAAAAGACGTAAGCTACCTTTTAAAAGTATATAATATGAGAAAACTTAATTGAAATCGTTTCATCCGTTTTAAGGAGCTATGATGCCACAGACACACAGACAGACACGTTAAACTTATTAAAGTTTTTGTTTTTTGTGACGTACAAGTCATAACCTTTCATTTGATACCCCCACTTGAGCATATTTGCAGACATTCGGTTTTTCTTCCCCACTTTAATCCCCCATAACTATTAAAAGGCTCAATCGATTTTCATCAAACATGTCTAAGAACACTCGCCCGTAAAACACCGGTAATACAAAAAAAACTAAATTGAAATCGGTTCATTCGTTCAAGAGCTATGATGCCACAGACACACAGACAGACACGTCAAACTTATAACACCCCTGTTTTTGCGTCGGGGGTTAAAAAAATATAATTGTAGCCTACACAGACACAGTTGGTGTACTGTTATATGAAATAAATTATATTTAAATAATCTTTGTATGTACTTTATACGAGCTCTTTAATATAAAAAGACATACCAACATTGTTTACCTTTAGTTAACCGCCTAAACCTATAGACTCAGCCGGGGTTGCGGGGTTAGCGCAATGAGGCGGTGCGGAGTGAGAGGAACTGGGACGCCGTCTCCTCCTTTTGTGAAGCAGTCATGCTCGCAAAGAGAGAGGCGGCCCGCGTGAGGGAGCAATCCTCCTCCTCACGCCCCAGCAGCCGCAACTGGCGACACTACGGGCGTCGGGGATCGAGGGACGATCTCCGGCCACCGTAAGTACGGGCCTGCGGTCGGCGAGTAAGGGCAGCTCGCCGCCCGACCAGAACCAGGCCCGAGCGTACGGCGCGTAGCGTTCCGCGCGCGCCTCAAAGAGCCAATAGACCACCACAGACGGGGCCCTAAAGGGCTGATGTTCAGCCGGGGTTGCGGGGTAAGCGCAATAAGGTACCGCGACCTCGGCACAGAGCAGGAGAAGGAACAGGGGGGTTTTTAGTCAGTAAGAGTCTGACACTCCCTCCTGCCCGGCCCTGGGCGGGAGAAGTCATTTGATGATTTTCCCCTCACAAAAAAAAAAAAGCGCAATGAGGCACCGCGACCTCAGCCCAGAGCAGGAGAAGGAACAGGGGGGGTTTTAGTCAGTAAGAGTCTGACACTCCCTCCCGCCCGGCCCTGGGCGGAGAAGTCATTTGATGATTTTCCCCTCACAAAAAAAAATAAACCTATAGTCTATAGAATATATCTAAACCTTTTAGTTCCGAGACTAATTGTTACAACATAATATATAAATACTAGCTACTCTCGCACGTTTTCAGTCGCTGCACGGCTCCATTTGATCGTAGCGTGATGTTTTATAGCCTATAGCACTCAGGAACATTGTAGCTATCTATCAGTGAAAGAATTTTGGCAATCCGACCAGCGGTTCCAAAGATTACCCACTACGTACAAACTTTACCTCTTTATAATATTAGTATAATATATGTTTTAAATTGTTTTTTTTTATTTTCAGAAAGTTCACGATATTCGGACGGCGCCTCCAGGAGAATTGCCGTCGCTCGGTGTTTTGATTTGAAGAAGTCTTTAATCCAAAGAAAGTGATTTTGCATCAAACCCCAAGCGAACGCAGGCTTTCGCACCTATCGTGTCTCGATTGAAAGGTTAACGCGAAGTTCAATGTTATTGGGGATATGGCTTAATAAAACTTATTGTTACCACAAATATCTTTTTTAATGTAATAGGTCGGCAAACGATTGGACGGATTACCTGATGGTAAGCAATCAGCGCCGCCCATGGACACCCGTAACGGAGTCACAAATGCGTTGCCGACCTAGGGATTTAGGAATTGGGGGATGGGAACGATTGGGCCTCCGGTAACCTCACTCACACGGCGAAACCACACTGTGGTTGTTTCACGTCGGTTTTCTGTGAGGCCGTGGTATCACTCCGGTCGAGCCGACCCATTCGTGCCGAAGCATGGGTCTCTCACACTTAAAAATCTTAAAATGACAATATTTGTTGATTTCATTATAAGCTTAGTTTTAAGTATTTTTGTAAAGGATACTCTCTAGTAATTCAAAGGTTTTTACAATGTAAAAATGTTGAATTGATATTAAAATTGTTTTTTATCCAGTCTTGACAAGGTTTTAATTGAAATCAAGATACGATATTTCTCTAGGTCATGAGAGAGAAATAGTCAAATGGCTTCTCCAGCCCTGGGTGGGGCGAGAGTGTCAGACTCTTACTGACTAAAAACCCCCCCGTTGCTTCTCCTGCTCTAGGCCGAGGTCGTGGTGCCTTATTGCGGTTAATTAATTATTGCTTTACTTTCAAGTACAGATAAAGTACTAAGCTAAATATCTTCAAGGCCCGAGTAAATAGGTTGCTTATGGGTAGACGTGCTCCATCGTAGGTCGCATCAACGCACCACCAGGCGTGATAGCGGCCAAACGCTAGCCCGTTTCACAACATATTATTTAAAATATTGAATTTAGTAAATTTAATCAAACCTATGATGAGCCAGTTGTGATATGTAAACAGTGACTGATAATTTGGTTGTAATTGTTGATATCTGTTGTAATTATTTTGTTATTAATTAATACAATATTTGAAAAATTACACTTGTCTTTTTATTTACCTCCTATCACGGGAAAGCCTTACCCTCTCACGCCCAAGGTGAGGTTCAAAGACTCTTAATGTGTAAAAACCCCTCGTTCCTTCTACTCTGGGCCGAGGTCGCGGTGCCTCATTGCGCTTACCCCTCCACCCCGGCTGAACATCAGCCCTATAGGGCCCCGTCTGTAGTGGTCTATTGGCTCTTTGAAGCGCGCGCGGAACGCTACGCGCCGTACGCTCGGGTCTGGGTCTGGTCGGGCGGCGAGCTACCCTTACCGTCCGCGCTTACGGTGGCCGGAGATATTCTCTCGAGTTTGTAAGCCCTGAGGGGTCACATCGCTCCTGTGTTTTTTAATAGGTCAAACCCGCCATTCCCTTCCAATACCATACTTCCCATGCATGAAGGCGCGCGATTGAACTCTGGGTCCTATCACAAAACTTTTAGCTCGGTGCCCGTCACAAATTTATGTGACGCCCGTTGATATGCAAAAAGCCGTCAAAATCACTTCTGTTACCGAGATTGAGAGACCAGCGAAAAGTGTTTTTTCAAGATGGCTGGACACGTTTTCGATCGATTATCTAAGATTCTGTAGGTAGCGTCACAAATTCTGAAATAAGGGTGTTTAGCCGTCACATTGACCTATTAACCTAGTTAAATGCAAGCTATTTTATGAAGATTTGTCCAGCCAACCTGAGTCACATTATTTAGACACCGCTAACATACGGTGAATGGTATGTCGTGGTGGCCCCGCGGCGGTTAAGCAGCCCGCTTCTCATGCATGAGGGTGTGGGTCCGAAACCTGTCAAGTACCAATGTGACTTTCCGAGTTATATGTACTTTCTCTGATTATTTAGACACCACTGACATACGGTGAAGGTAAACATCGTGAGGAAGCGTGGACTTTTATTTCTAATTATGTATAACTTTGAAATCGCCAACCCGCATTGAGCAAGCGTGGTGGTTAATGCTCAAACCTTCTCCGTGTGAGAAGAGGCCTTTGGTCAGCAGTGGACACTTATAGGATGACGAAATGAAATAAAATATGAAGTAAAATAATTTTATTGTTTGCTTTTAATTAGGTATTTACATAAATAATCATAGCCGTTCTTTTAAAACCGCTAACTCAATCTAACTGAAAAGCATTTTCACTCGTTAATTACCAAAGTCAAACTCCATGGAAACTACTGAACCGGTTTTGATAAAACATACAAAATACAAGTAAATTTTAGTGTGGAAGAGCTAATACTTCAGGACGAATGGGTCGGCTCGACCGGAGTGATACCATGGCCTTACAGAAAACCGACGTGAAACAACCACAGCGTTGTGTTTCGCCGTGTGAGTGAGGTTACCGGAGGCCCCATCCTTCCCCCACCTTAATTCTCTACCGCCACTCACTTATAGTAGCTCCCTTGGTATAACGAGTGTCCATGGGCGGCGTTGATTGCTTACCATCAGGATTTCCATCTCATTTGCCGATCAGTCATAAAAAAAAAACAGTTTAAGGCCACGTAAACGCATAAAAGCTTAAAAAATTCATTCATTGATAATTTAGAAACATTACACATATATTTACAAACTCTCTTCTCATATAGTGACTGTAGATTACATTACATTTTATCACCACCCCCACTATTCAGGTGGGTATGGTATACCCGAACAAGGAACGCATATAACAGAACCCGGGTAGCAGTTTAATAACACTTGGGAGTGTAATTATTGGAGGTAAAACCTTCTGACGTGAAGGAGGGCTTCGTAGTCCAGCAGTGGACTGTCAATCATGGTGATTACTGTTCATAGACCACTTCGTAAGTAATTTCTCTAGAGTCCACGTCTTCATAGAGGATCTCTGCCTCCTCAACCTCTTGTTTATATCCCTCTTCAGCCTTGATATAATGTATATCTGGACTTATGTAGTGCTGTTCATCTTTCAATACTTGACCTTCGTTCGACTCACTTATCGTTTGCACTGAAAAATTTGAAAAATATCATTAATATCTGGTGGCGTGCAATTGGGGAGGCCAATGTCCAGCAGTGGAGGACAACAGGCTGATGATGATGATGATATATCTATTTATCTATATATAATATATATTTAAGTAGTGTTTATATTTTATAATATAAGTATTGTTGTACACATGACAACCCCATTTCCTTTCCCAGGTTAGAATCCGAGTGTGGGCACGAATGGGTCGGCTCGACCGGAGTGATACCACGGCCTCACAGAAAACCGGCGTGAAACAACTAAAGCGTTATGTTTCGCAGTGTAAGCGAGGTTAATGGAGGCCCAATATTTCCCCTTTCCCCACCACTTAACAATTCTTAAACATCCGAAACCCATATCCCCAAAATGTCAAACGAGCAGACGGATTACCTGATGGTAAGCAATTAGCGCCGCCCATGGATACCCGCAACAGGAGTAACGAGTGCGTTGCCGACCTTCTGGGGATAAGGGTGTTTAGGAGATTTTGAGATTGGCGGGGAAGAGGGAGATTGGGCCTCCGGTAACCTCACTCACACGGCGAAACACAACGCTGTGGTTGTTTCACGCTTCTATGAGGCCGTGGTATCACTCCGATCGAGCCGACCCATTCGTGCCGAAGCATGACTCTCCCACATTTGAATTTAGATTAAAGTTGTCTAAAGGGCCTCTGCGCAGTTGGCTCCGGCCCCTCGTACGCCTCCCAAATGACGGTGACCCTGTACTCCAGTGATCAGGACAGACATACAAATAATAATAATAATAATAATTCTTCCACCAACCTGCAGCAGTCTCTTCATCATCCATGACCCTGAGGATGGCAGCCCTCAACATTTCCCGTTCCTTGGCCTTATTCCGTCTGGTCTTACTCTTGTATGGAGCTGGCATCTTCAAATGCACCGTGTTCACGTGCAGCTTCATTGAATTGGACTGAGTAAAGAACTTCCCACACTCCGGACATTCGTAAGGTTTGACTCCGGTGTGGACCTGGAATTATAAAATAAGTAATTTTTTATTGAATAGTTCGGCAAACGAGCATACGGATTACCTGAAGGTAAGCAATCAGCGCCGACCTTGGACACCCGCAACATCAAAGGAGTTACGAGTGCGTTGCCGACCTTTTAAGGATTGGGATTTTGGGGATTTAGGGATTGGGGTAGGGGAAGGATTGGGCCTCCGGTAATCACTCACACGGCGAAACACAACTTTGTGTGTTTCAAACCGGTTTTCTGCGAGGCCGTGGTATAACTCCGATCGAGCCGACCCATTCGTGCTGAAGCATGGCTCTTCCACACTTAATAAAATAATAAATAAAATAAAAAATAATATTTAAAAATATAAAAGTAGGAGCCAGCCGGCAGCGGGAGCAAGGTCCAAGCTACCGGTGGTTAGGGCTCTAGAGACAGGAACCTCCACACAATACGTGCCGTTTCAAGGAGGACTGCCTTTTGTATGAGGCCCTTGATCCATCCGCCTAACGTCAGCCTCTTAATGTGGTTATCGAGGCTTTTGGGGACTAACCCGTTTGCCGACACAATTATCGGCACAACGATAGCCGATCTAATTTAAATTATTATTATTAAAAAAATATATACATATGTTGCTCCATATAAGGATTTTCTCCTATGTCGTGGGTGCGTTTACAAACATACAATTTCACATACACATCACACCCAGACCCGCAACAACAATTTGTTGGAATCCAGCTGAACGTTGCACAGCCAGAAAGCCTATCGACCGGCGGCGTGATAACCGTGCATTCAAAAGCACAGGACAGCCTATCGACCGGCGTGATACCACAGTCTAATAGTAAACTGGAGTGAAACAACTACAGCGTTCTGTGAGTGAGGTTACTGGAACTTCCCTCCTCATCTTAAAACGTACTCGTAACCTCTCTAGTGTACGGACGGCGCGGATTGCTTACTATCAGGTAATCCGTCGTCGTTTGCTGACTCATCACAAAGAAACTGATTGAAAAAGAGTAACCATGGAGTTTCTTCGTAGGAATCTACAATGTGGAACGATTCTCATGATGAAGGGCTGATGATGATGATGAAAATGGATTTCTTGACTTACCCTATCATGTCTTAGTAAGGCCGCCTTATTGCTGAAGGCCTTGGGACAAACTTGGCACTCATAGGGTCGCTCCCCAGTATGTGTCCGCAGGTGAATCTGTAATAAAATAGATAAAATTAAAAATTACATAGTTTTTAAGTGTGGGAGAGCCATGCTTCGGCACGAATGGGTCGGCTCAACCGGAGTGATACCACGGCCTCACAGAATACCGGCGTGAAACAACCACAGCGTTGTGTTTCGCCGTGTGAGTGAGGTTACCGGAGGCCCAATCCCTCCCCTCCCCCGATCCTTCCCCAACCCTAAATCTCCAAAACCCTAATCCCTAAAGGGTCGGCAACGCACTAGTTACGCCTCCGTTGCGAGTGTCCATAGGCGACGCTGATTGCTTACCATCAGGTAATCCGACAACTCGTTAGGCGTATTACATAAAAAAAAATTAAGGATTGGAGATTTGGGGGATTGATGGGGGAGGGAGTGTTGAGATAACTTTTAGATATTTGAAATAAGTTTTAGATATTTTATAGCTAATTTTTATGAAATAAGTAAACTATTTGACGCTATGACCTCATAACTCAGTGTTTCATACAAAGGGGAATGCCAAGTCCCCATAGTAATTTAGGCCCACTGTGCACACATATAAAAGTTCATGATTATAATAGAGGGTAATTGCAATAATCAATTGGTAAAAGAAATTATATCAAAAATACTTGGCACTTAAAAGTTATTAAAGGTTTTATAATTTCATCAACACTAGTAACGTTAAAAAAACAAAATAATAATTATTTTAATTTTATAGTGTAAAGCATAATAACTGGGAGTAAAATAACACAAAACACCTTTAGTTTTACATATTTATTCTTGTTGATCATCACCATATATGAGTAAAACATCATCAACAAATTGTGCGGGTGGAAATACATTATTTTGATGCCTTGTCCATCCTAAATACCATATTATTATCACGGTCATAACATAAGCACAGCATCCTACAGTACGCCAGCCACCAATACAGTTACTGCTGCATGGCCTGTGTCAACAGTGCCAACTAAAACCAATATACAGCTTTTTGCGACGAACATGACAACTAGCGATTCTTACCAGTGAACAGATTTGTGCAAATATAGTGATTGTTCTGTTACTATTATTAGTACATACTTCTATACAGTATGCCCTGGTAAATCTCATTTGCTCGCCATAGTATGAGCGATGATTCTAGATACATTCAAACCGCAGTATAAACAACGTAGATCACCACTCACAGCAGTAGATGACTGTTGTGAATAACTAGGTCCAGAGTAAATGCCGGGTTCGTCGTCGGTCGAAGCGTGTACGGTGTAATACCAAATCAACATTGTCGATACTAAGTCCAGACTGAATGCCGGGTTCGTAAGCCAAAGCGTCTAATACTAAATCCAGTTTATCACCAGTGTCGTCATGAGTAGCAGGAGCAGAATCCATAATCAGGCTGTAGTCGTCAAGGATAGAAGAATCCTCAAAGTTAATGAGTGAAAGTAGTCAATTTAAACCACGATTAGTAAACAAGTCGTAAGTAAACAAACAAGCAATGATTTTGACATTAACTTTTTCCGGCGGCTTGTCAAAAGTTGACTTGATGTTGCCATAAGAAGAAAAAATCGATAGATCTATTATATTATTATTTCCCAAAAAAATTGTTCTTAAATTATGAAATAATATTAGTTTCCATTACATGATATTCATTAATTCATTTTCTTTTCGGAAAAATATCTCTGTCTATTAAAAATAATATCACTATTATTGTTCCGATTCATTCTTGGTACTTTTTTTTTGTAAAGGCAACATCTTGAAAATATTTTTATGTTTCCTAAGATTAGTCATTTTCATATCTATTTAATGTTTTTGAAAAAATATCCCATCATGCACAGACTTATGAATATATGCAAGACATGAGTAAAATAACAAGGTATTTTTCTACGGAAACCAATTTGTTGTGCAGCTCTGGGCCTAAAATTGGCATTCCCCTTTCATAGAAAAGTATAGTTTTTGACATTTGGATAAAAGTATTGAATTTGACTAGTTGGAAACTACCGTATTACCTGAAGGAACAGTGGCATTGTGAAACTTTTCGGACACTGCGTACATTTGTAGGGACGCTCGCCAGTGTGAACACGCTGATGATACTTCAGGGCTGCATTAGACTGAAATAAGGCAAAATAAAGAGAAATTAGATATATATCATGCATAACTTTTCACCCCCGCTCTTCTCGCGGGTATAGCATACCCAGACTAAGCATCTGCGTCACTCTCCCAATACTACTGTAAGTGACTGTAAGAGTCTGACACTCTCTCATCTTACCCTGGCGAATCAAAAAAAACGGCTACCTTATTTTATGAAAGGAAAATCATTAAATGTATTCTCCCGCCCAGGATGGCAGGAGGGAGTGTCGGTCTCTCCCAGTTTCTATGGCCTCGACTAAGGCCGGGCACGCGAAGAAAGTCAGTCACTGAGGACACAGCGTTGCTCAGCCCAAGCAGGGTACACAGCCACCGTATGCTCTCTGGGTGGTCCTCACAATAAAGTCTTGCAACCTGGTCTCACATGTAGACCTTAGTCAAGTATACCTACCATCAGGTAATAATAAATATGAGTATACTCACAGCATATCTCTTCCCGCAGACCTCACACACAATGTTCTTGACATTGTAATTAGGTTTTTGTTTCCGCTCCTTCCTAATTTTAGGTTTGGGCTTAGGAGGCTCAGGTTCCTCTATTATTTCTTCATAAATCTGCAAATACATATTATAAACATCAATAACATTATCTAAATCCAAACTAATATTAGGTATCAATGTGTAAGTAACTCTGTCTGTGTCTTTTCTTCACGCCTAAACTACTGAACCTATTTGTGTGAAATTTAGAACAGATAGTTTGGAAGTCGAGAAAGGACATAGGATAGTTTTTACGCCGAAAATCCCGCGGGAGCGGGAACTTCTGCAGCTGCAAAATGTGCAGGAAATCACTATTCCACGCGAACGAAGTCGCGGGCAAAAGCTAGTAGCACTCTCGCGAGGTTTCACCCGCTGCTCGGCTCCATTTAAAAGTAGTGTGATATTTTATATCCTATAGCACTCAGGAACATTGTAGCTCTATCTATCAGTGAAAGAATTTTGGCAATCCGATCAGCGGTTCCAAAGGTTACCTCCTACATACAAACTTACAAATTTTACCTCTTTATAATGTTAGTATTAGTATAGATAGTATCGACTATGTATTGATGATGAAGAATATGTATTCCCACACCATAGGAATAGTCAAAGTATTCAGGGGCAAAGTCTCGGGTATAAGCTAGTCTCAAATCAAAAAATATTAAATGACTGACAGTAGGCTGCGCGACGTCGCCGCGTCCGCGCACGCCGCTCATGAGGAAGAACCCCTCTGTGGTTCGAAACTAGTAGAGCTTTTCTCAATATACACACGTGAGTAACCCGCGATTTTTAGTTAATTTAGTATGTCTCACGATAGTTATTATAAAAAAATATTACATACTATATCAGCAGGAACTTCATTCTCCTCCTCGGGAGCCTCTGTGACAACATAATCGTCATAATCATTTTCTTGCTTGATCTCAATATGGCTGCTCTCATAATGTGCAATGTAATCTTCTTCCGAACCAAACAAAGCTTGGCACTGAAATAAATAAATAAATAGTTCATCATCATCATCAGCCTATAAGTGCCCACTGCTGAGCAAAGGCCTCTTCTCACACAGAGAAGGTTTGAGCATTAACCACCGCGCTTACTCAAGGCGGATTGGCGATTTCAAACTTATAATTAGAAATTACAAGTCCAGGTTTCCTCACGATATCTTTCTTCACTGGAACTATGTCAGTGGTGTCTAAATACACTTAGATTGATTATTCCTCACTATTTAATACATGTAGTTATACATATAAATCTTCATCTTCAATCACTCTATCTATTAAAAAACCGCATCAAAATGCGTTGCGTAGTTTTAAAGACTTAAGCGTACATAGGGATATAGGGACAGAGAAAGCGACTTTGTTTTATACTATGGAGTGATGATGAAGACAGAATTTCTAATATGCAGTCCTGTGAAGAATATTAAAATAACCCTGAACATATAGAGGCCTGCCGGGGTTGCGGGGTAAGCACAATGAGGACCGCAACCTCAGCCCAGAGCAGGAGAAGGAACAGGGGGGTTTTTAGTCAGTAAGAGTCTGACACTCCCTCCCGTCCGGCCCTGGGCGGGAGAAGTCATTTGATGATTTTCCCCTCACAAAAAAATAATAATAAAAATCCTCATCTAATGTATTTCAAGTAAAATATATGTAGCCATGGGGCCAACAATATAATATGTTCTATCATAACTATAGAATTAAAGCAATAAATGAACTTAAACCTTCTGAATTTTATCTAAAACCAGCCTAGCAATTGAGGAGATTTTAGCAGGTAGTGGTGGGATTAAAAGAATTATGACAATCTGTTAGCAACCTTATAGAGATTTTTCAGTCGACAGGTGGTAGTGTTGACTGTCTAGGAGATACTAGATTTAGGTATTGTCATGAGCTGATGGTAGCGTGGACTGTCCAGGCAATATGAACTTAGGAATCATCATGAACTAATGGTGACATGTAAACAGTGACTCGTGTAGTGTAGAGATTGTCCAGTCAACTGGTGGTAGTGTGGACTGTCCAGGCAATATGAACTTAGAAATCATCATGAGCTAATGGTGACATGTAAACAGTGACTCATGTAGTGTAGAGATAGTCCAGTCAACTGGTGGTAGTGTGGACTGTCCAGGCAATATGAACTTAGAAATCATCATGAGGTAATGGTGACATGTAAACAGTGGCTCGTGTAGTGTAGAGATTGTCCAGTCAACTGATGGTAGCGTGGACTGTCCAGGCGATACGTACTTAGGTATCGTCATGAGCTAATGGTGACATGTAAACAGCGATTCATGTAGTGTAGAGATTGTCCAGTCAACTGGTAGTGTGGACTGTCCAGGCGATATGTACTTAGGTACCGTCTGAGTATGAGATAATATCTAAAACTACCGGCTTAATTATTTAACACATGAATCAAATCGTGGGTCACATTATCAACAACCAATGAAAGTCCTACAGTTAATTTTTTCCTATTATATTACGCAAGTTATGATTTGTTTACAAACTTTGGCGCTATATTCTTGGACACAGAGAGAGTATATATTATTATAAATAAGATAATGTATAGCTACGTAAGTTGGTAAATTGTATTTGTAACTTACGACTCCGCATTCGAATTCCTTTTTCTCCTTTTTCATAGCATGATCTCTTTCTAAATGATTTTTCAATTCGTCTTCGTTAGGAAATGTTTCCCCACATTCACAGATTATATAGTGAATACTCACAAAGGAGCAATAGAACATATCGTCAGACATTGCGAAGATATTACAACAAGCACAGATTACTAATTTGATGTTAAAAACTGATATTAATTTTCTATGCCGACAGCCATCTTGGTTTTCTATTTTCTGTGTAGTAGTTTTAGTGTTGTCTGTTCTTAGTCGATGGTTGTTCATGATTGCATATTTTAGTCGATTGAATTTGTGTTTATATATTCAAACTGATTATTAAAGATTAAATGAAATTGTGTCTTAAGAGACAAAAAATATACCTAGTAGTTTTCAAAAGGTTTACTTTAGAACTGTTATTCAAGCCACATATTCATTATAAATATATTCGTATACACACATTCATTACCAATTTGAAAAGAAATAAATAGTTACTAACACTAACAATTGAGTAGTTTCCTAGATCAACATTAAATTAATTCGACGTTTCAATACAATAAAATATTGAAAAATAACTATACTTTTATTCATCGATCGATCGATATACTAAGTTCAAGATATTTTGTATTTAATTATTAAGAAATAAGTAAGCTATTTAACGCAAAAAATACTATGACATCATATGTAACTCAGTTTTTCATACAAATTTAATAGATAATTTCATAGAAAAGTTTAGTTTTTGACATTTGGATAAAAGTATTGAATTTGACTAGTTGATAACGACGGTATTGGTTATGAACTAAACTAAAAAAATAAAAACTCGCATCACTAGTTAAACGGCCTTATCTGCCTGTTTAACTTACCTACCGTTTTTAACTAATTTAAACATATTTCTCAAAATTCTAATTGTTTTCTATATTAACAGTAAAATGACTAAAATTTTTCAAAATTTTATGTGTAGTAAATATACCTAAATGAATTTCGGCAAATATTTTTTTTACCATTTACGATATCTATTATTATCTGTATCTAATGTTTGGCCTGCAGTGTTTATATTATTACTATTATTCTCAAAATAATTGGAGCATTGAAAATTCTTGAATTGGATTTACTCTAGATCTTAAGTTATGAATGAAAAATAATAAATAACTATACAATAATGGAAGAGTTACTTGCGTGCCGAGTTTGCCTTGCAACTAATATAAAACTTTACGACATATATAAATATAAACTGAAATATGTTTACGAAATAATCAGTGGCATTGAGGTTTGTATTAATTAATTTCAATTTTCATTTGTTTTCATCGTGTTAATCAATTAGGTTTTGATAAAACCTTTAAGTATCGTATTTTTATTTTAAAAATGCCTAGATACCTAGATAACAACTGTTTTTAAATGGGTTTGTTTCGAAAAAAAAATTAAATTATATCCAAAATATGATCCTAAGAAGACCCGCTAGCCCAAGGACATTGTGACCTGGACTTGTAATTTCTAATTATAAGTTCGAAATCGCTTAAGCTTCAGCAAGCGTTGCGATAATTGCTCAAACTTTATCCATGTGAGAAGAGGCCTTTACTCAGCAGTGGGCACTTAGAAAAGAAGAAAAAACTTGAAACGGATAAACTATGCTATCATTATTGTTTATTAACCTTTTTTCATTATTATTGTAGTCACAAAGTATATGGTTTTCAACATACTAACTTATATTGGAGATTTAAAAGAACTGACTACCTGCCTGTCTACATGTGGGTACAAAGCTGATACTAAATGTCTCCACTATTTAATGGATGTTGATATACATATAAACCTTCCTCTTCAATCTCTATCTATAAAAAACCGCATCAAAATCCGTTGCGTAGTTTTAAAGATTTAATCATACATAGGGATATAGGGACAGAGAAAGCGACTTTGTTTTATACTATGTAGTGATTATTTTTGTTTCCAGATCTCTCCGGGGGACAACTATCCACATTATTTATGTGTATATTGTAGATCATTACTGTTGAAATGTTTTTCATTCAGGGAGAGATGTATAAAGTCACAGGATCTCATGAAATTCGCTGAACGGGATGGTGAACTTGTAAGAGATATTTTGTAATATAAATAACTATGTACTTTTATTTAATTATTCAACATACAAATAATTGTACAGTTCAAATCAGTAGTTAAAGGCCTACAAGTAAACTTAACCGCTATTAATATCACATTACAATATTAAAATAATAATTTTCTTAGTCAAAGTCAAAGTCAAAATCATTTATTCCAACTAAACCATAAATAGGTACTTTTGAAACGTCAAAATAGAGAAGTAGTCTGTCAGTCTGTTCGTCAGTGAAGCTAGGTGCTGATAACATAATTATTACATAACATAACAAGCAGACAAATAACCTGATGGTAAGCAATCTGCGTCGCCCATGAGAACGGCAACACCAGAAGAGTAACTGTCATTATGAGAAAAAAAAGTTTTGTAGATTCAAGGATTGGGGGTAGGGAAAGGATTGGGCCTTCGGTAAACTCACTCATATGGCAAAACACAAGCTGTGATAGCATGTGTGATTCGTGCCAAAGCATAACTCTCCCACATACAAGCAAAGTCTAAATGTAAAAATCTATACTAATATTATAAAGAGGTAAAATTTGTAAGTTTGTATGTAGGAAGTGATCTTTGGAACTGCTGGTCGGATTGACAAAATTCTTTCACTGATAGATAGCTACAATGTTCCCTAGTGCTATAGGCTATAAAACATCACGCTACAATCAAATGGAGCCGAGTAGCGAGTGAAACCGCGCGGTAGTAGCTTTAAGTGTGGGAGAGCCATGCTTCGGCACGAATGGGTCGGCTCGAACGGAGTGATACCACGGCCTCACAGAAAACCGGCGTGAAATAACCACTGCGTTGTGTTTCACCGTGTGAGTGAGGTTACCGGAGGCCCAATCCTTCGCCTTCCCCAATCCCTCCTCAATCCCTAAATCTCCAAATCCCTAATCCCTAAAAGGTCGGCAACGCACTAGTAACTCCTCCGTTTCGGGTGTCCATGAGCGGCGCTGATTGCTTACCATCAGGTAATCCGTCTGCTCGTTTGCCGATCTATTACATAAAAAAAAGTAGCTAGTAATTAATAATTTCTCTATTTTTTACAGCTTACAACGAAAAAACTCGAATCTTTAGCCGCTTATAACCAAATAATGTTACCATATTCTATATTCAAAATAAAAACAACAGACATATTCGATATAGACATAAAAAAGGAAACAGACCTAACGTTGAAAGAAGAAATAGACTACAGTGACGAGGAACCTTTAGCGAATAAAGTAAAAAAGAATAAAAAAGATGAAGATAGTTCAGTTGTAAATGAAATTGAAGCTAATTGCGATGATGATAGGAGTGATTTTGACTTACAATTGGATACACAGGACTGTAAAAATGATGTATCCAACTTTGATATTGAGGTAAGTTTTTTTAGTATTATTTACAAGTACCTAATATTAAAATTATAATTAAAATTCTAGCTTCCGGTCGCGGCCTCGGCCTCGTCCTCGTGGTATGCTCATAAAAAGCAGCTTATGTATTAACCAGGGGCCCGGGGTATCACCTATATAATACATACCAAATTTCAACTAAATCGGTCCAGCCGTTTTTGTGTGAAAGAATAACAAACATACATTCACTCATTCTCATAAACTTTCACATTTATAATCTGAGTAGGATGTCAAGTCTAAGAATCATCCTTAGTCTCTCAGTATAACAACGTGAAACAGCAGTTATGTGGTGTTTCGCTATGTACCCATCTTCAATCCCCAAACCCCTATCCTTAAATCTCTAACACCACACAAAATTGTGGCAACGCACGTAGCTCCTTTCAGGCCCACACCCGCATGAAAAGCGGGCCCTTAAACCAAAAAAAGATAAAATCATTTATTTCAATGAGACCTTTCTTTTTTCTTTCTTCTTATTTTCAATTTAAGTGTCCCACACTTCGGCCATGCTTCGGCACAGGTCGGCTCGACCGGATTTATACCACGGCCCTACAGAAAACCGGGGTATAACAACCACAGCGTTGTGTTTCGCCGTGTGAGTGAGGTTACCGGAGACCCAATCCATCCCCTCCCCCAATCCGTCCTCATTCCCAAAATCTCCAAATCTCTAATCCCCAAAAAGTCGGCATTACCATCAAGTAATGTGGTCGCTCGTTTGCTGACCTATCACATAAAAAATTAGACCCTTACAGGCACTTTTGATCGTCAAACAAAGCTTAAAGATGTATAGGTAGTGTCAGTCTGTCGGTCAGTCCTCTTAGTGAAGCTATTTGCTCGTTCCAAAGTGTAGATTCCGGCCTTCGAGCAACGACGATTTAATTTTGTTTATTGTATTTTTTCCAGTTAAAATGTCTCACTAAAGAGGAGCAATATAACGAATTATTAGCAAGAAAATCATCACAGAATTATATAAATTCATTTTACAAATGCGAACTGTGTTTCAAAGGATTCCTTCAGGATGAGACTTATAAAAAACATATGATCCGACACGATCCGGTATGTATGATAATATTATTTAATTTTAGCATCATTTTTGGGGTCAATAATCGACATCTTTTCCGGGGAGATCTTGTCCTGGGAATAGCTTTTCCGGGGAGACCAACTGGTAAATATATGATCCAATACGATCTCAAACCCTGTTTTGTCTGTAGTATATATAGATAGGGTGGCAAATGAGCAGACAGATCTGATGGTAAGCAACCTGCGTCACCCATGAACACTTACAACACCAGAGAAGTTGCAAGAGAATTGAACTTTCAAGGATAACAAATTTGAGAATTGAAAAATGACGCAAATGTTGTTTCACGTCGGTTTCCTGTGAGGCCGTGGTATAACTCACGTGGAACCAGTGCCGGCGTTATCTGGGGGGTCAAGGTCTGAAGTAGGAGTATCTTGCCTCTCCTGGTGCAAACCCTCAGAACTGTGCTCTACACTCTGTGCATATGCATATTTTTATAGAGATTTTTTGAGGGTTTGTGGTCGAGGAGTGACTCTAAAGATATCAATACGATCAGCAAAAAACTAACACATGATATAGCTTAGAAAGAAAGAAAGAAAGAAAGAAAGAAAGAAAGAAAGAAAGAAAGAAAGAAGGAAAGAAAGAAAGAAAGAAAGAAGGAAAGAAAGAAAGAAAGAAAGAAAGAAATATTGCATAAATTCTTCTATTGTATAAAAGCATTTTTCTATCAGCCATTGCTTAAGCTTTATTTTAAAATATTTGAATGGTAGTAGGTAATGATATAAAAAAAATAAGAGTATTTGTACAAAATAGGTATCTATATGCTGAAAAATTTTTGTTGCAGTCATCGGGCGATGAATCCTGCGATGTCTGCAAAACAAGATGGCCGAACAAAAGAGCATTGAAATCCCACATAACAACAGCTCACGAAAGGAAATATATATGTAAACTATGTAATTTAGAAATCAAGAGCAGTCATCGAGCAAAGGAACATCTAAAATGGCATACTGGTCATAGATTCGTCTGTAAAATATGTGGCTTAACCTTTTCAAAATCAACGAGCCACTTAACCCATGTTCGGTTACACCATCCGTCGAAGAATTGTTGTGGAATTTGCGGAGAGAGTTTTCTTAGTGAAGTCGGATTGAGGATGCATTGTAAAAAGTCACATCGGGAGGTCGAGGTGAGTTGGAATCTATTTTTCTTTACGTAATACGTCGGCAAACGAGCAGACGGGTTACCTGATGGTAAGCAATCAGCGCCGCCCATGGACACTCGCAACGGAGGCGTTACAAGTGCGTTGCCGACCCTTTAGGGATTAGGGGATTGGGGAAGGATCGGGGGAGGGGAAGTACACGGCGAAACACAACGCTGTGGTTGTTTCACGCCGGTTTTCTGTGAGGCCGTGGTATCACTCCGGCCGAGCCGACCCATTCGTGCCAAAGCTTGGCTCTCCCACAATTAGCTGATACTAAATGTCTCCACTATTTAATGGATGTCATTATACATATAAACCTTCCTCTTCAATCACTCTACCTATAAAAAAACCGCATCAAAATCCGTTGCGTAGTTTTAAAGATTTAAGCGTACATAGGGATATAGGGAGAGAGAAAGCGACTTTGTTTTATACTATGTAGTGCAACAATTCCTGTATTTTTTTTTTTCAGGTTTCTGTAGTAACAAGAGCGAAGATAGTGTGTTGTGTATGTGACACCCACTTCAAGACTGTTGAAGCTATGAAGCGGCACGTTGCTCATACTAGTGACGGCGTGTGTGACGCCAAGTACAGGTCAGTCAGAGTCAATGTCAAAGTCAAATAAGCTTTTTTTAAAATACCTACATAATATTTTTGCGCGTTATTTTTCTGTATTATTTTCTTTCTAATCTTTCTTTCGACGAGCAAGGGTAGTATGCCGTCCGTCTTAAACCAAATCACTACAGATGGGCCCCAAATAGGGCCGATGTTCAGCCTGGATTTACAATTTTTTATTAGGAAAATCATCAAATAACTTTTCTCCGTCCAGTTTAGCCAGGGTCGGGGTCATGTTCAACAATGTACTCAGAGTTTAGTCAGTAAGAGTCTGACATATCGTCTCAAAAAGGTGGGAAAAGTTATTTGATGGCTTTCCCCAATCAAGCGATAAGGCTACTTGAAGCTGTTTTTAACCCCCGACGCAAAAAGAGGGGTGTTATAAGTTTGACGTGTCTGTCTGTCTGTCTGTGGCATCCTGGAGCCTGAACGGATGAAGCGATTTCAATTTAGTTTTTTTTTGTATTAAAGGTGACTTACGTGCGTGTGCTCTTAGACATGTTTGACGAAAATCGGTTGAGCCGTTTAGAAATTATGGGGGGGTAAGTGGGGAAGGGTAACCGAATGTCTGCAAAAATACTCAAGTGGGTATTGAAATCCCACAATTGTGGGTATCAAATATACGTCACAAAAAACAAAAACTTTAATAAGTTTGACGTGTCTGTCTGTGTGTCTATGGCATCATAGCTCCTGAACGGATGAAACGATTTCAATTAAGTTTTTTTTATTATATAATTTTTAAAGGTAGCTTATGTTTTTTGTGTCGGGGGTTTTATATAATTTTTAATTTTTTGAAATGGGATGTCACGAAGCATAGGACCCCTCCAACCCCTTGTCATACCATGTCACACTTTTTCCACTCCCCACCCCATGTGACGAACTTTATGGATTATTTTTTTAAACAACCGTTTTAAGTGATTTTGAATTGAAATATTTTTTTCCAGTTCATGCTACCAGTGTGGGGAAATCTATCCGACGCAGGTTGCGTTAAAGGAACACTTAAAGTCGCATGACAGCGGCGTCAAATGTGAAGAGGTTAGTGTTACATTTATACTTCAGTGTGGGAGAGCCATGCTTCGGCACGAATGGGTCGGCTCGACCGGAGTGATACCACGGCCTCATAGAAAACCGGCGTGAAACAATCACAGCGTTGTGTTTGAAGTGAGAGAGGTTAAAGGAGTCCCAATCCTTCCCCTCCCCCGATCCTTCCCCAATCCCTAAATCTCCAAAACCCTAATCCCTAAAGGGTCGGCAACGCACTCGTAACACCTCCGTTGCGAGTGTCCATAGGCGACATAGGCTGATAGCTTACCATCAGGTAATCCGTCTGCTCGTTTGCCGGCCTGTTACATAAAAAAAAGACTCCAACTCACCTCGACCTCCCGATGTGACTTCTTGCAATGCATCCTCAATCCGACTTCACTAAGAAAACTCTCTCCGCAAATTCCACAACAATTCTTTTCCCTCCCCCAACCCCTAAATCTCCAAAAGTCGAAGTCAAAATCATTTATACTATCTTTTAAACTTTAGCGTTTCATTATATATCCTTAATTACGCGCGTATTAACGCGGAAAAGAATTATTTGAATCCCTTGGTAGACTTGACGTTTCGACCCGGTTGCACAGGTCTTGGTCACAAGCAGACTGAAGGTGCGATGTCACAGCTCCCTGCATTAAAAAAAATGTCAAAAATCATTTATTCCAATTAGACCTTTACAGGCACTTTTGAACGTCAAAACAAAACAAAATTTTGAAGATATATAATAAAATATTGAAAAATATAAATAAAACTATAAAAATACAATGTATAAACTATACTTTTATTCATCGATCGATCGATAGTAAAGAAAGAAAGAAAGAAAGAAAAAGTATTTATTCGCGTCTGGGACGCATAAAAGACACAAAACGAACAAGATAGTCTAAGTTTTAGATATTTTGTAGCTAATTATTAAGAAATAAGTAAGCTATTTGACGCAAAATTTCATAGTTATTTTTTTTGTGAGGGGAAAATCATCAAATGACTTCTCCCGCCCAGGGCCGGGAGGGAGGGAGTGTCAGACTCTTGCTAACTAAAAACCCCCCCGTTCCTTCTCCTGCTCTGTGCCGAGGTCGCGGTGCCTCATTGCGCTTACCCCTCCACCCCGGCTGAACATCAGCCCTTTAGGGCCCCGTCTGTGGTGGTCTATTGGCTCTTTTAGGCGCGCGCGGACGAGTTACGAGTGCGTTGCCGACCTTTTAGGGATTAGGGATTTTGAGATTTAGGAACTGGGGAGGGATTGGGGAAGGGGAAGGATTGGGCCTCCGGTAACCTCACTCACACGGCGAAACACAACGCTGTGGTTGTTTCACGCCGGTTTTCTGTGAGGCCGTGGTATCACCAAGGTCGAGACGGCCCATTCGTGCCGAAGCATGGCTCTCCCACACTTAATTCATATTTATATAACTCTGCCAAAAACTAACACAATTATCAGTGCGACAGACAATTCGCTCATAGCCGGTCCTTCTCAATCCACTATCAACGTGTTCATCTGGGAATCAAACTGCAACCGTACAAGCCGCGGGAACGTCGGGCCCATGTAGATTGGGTCTGTGAGGTGTGCGGGAAAAAATGTATTGTAAGTATTAGTAGCTTTTTTTCATCATCATCATCATCATCATCAGGCTATACGTGCCCACTGCTGAGCAAATGCCTCTTCTCATACGGAGAAGGTTTGAGCATTGACCACCACGCTTGTTGAAGACCGGTTAGAAATTTTAAAGTCAAAATCAAATGATATTATGACACACATCACTAAATGTAATGATGATGTAAATATTATTGTTTTTTTTTCTTGTGATAGGACGGCCAACTTGCAGGCCTGTTGGCCTGTTACCTAATGGTAAGCAATCAAGCTAAAAAATGGCGCCGCCCATAGACAACAACGCAACACCGAAGGAGTTACGAGTGCGTTGCCGGCCTTTTGGGGATTAGGGTCTCTGAGATTTAGGGATTGGGGGAAAAGAAGAAAGATTGGATCTCCAATAACCTCACTCACACGGCGAAACACAACGCTGTTGTTGTTTCACGCCGGTTTTCTGTGAGGCCGTGGCCGAAATTGTGATACCACGGCCTCACAGAAAACCGGCGCCCAATCCCTCCTCCCATCCCTTCCCAATCACAGACGGGGCCCTATAGGGCTGATGATCAGCCGGGGTTGCGGGGTAAGCGTAATGAGGCACCGCGACCTCGGCCCAGAGCAGGAGAAGGAACAGGGGGGTTTTTAGTCAGTAAGAGTCTGACACTCCCTACCGCCCGACCCTGGGCGGGAGAAGTCATTTGATGATTTTCCCCTCACAAAAAAAAAAAATCCCTTCCCAATCCTTAAATATCTGAAACCTTTATCCATAAAAGGCCGGCAACGTACTCGTAAATTCTTTGGTGCTGCGAGTGTCTATGGGCGGCGCCGATTGCTTACCATCAGGTAATCCGTCTGCTTCGTTGTTTGCCGACCTATTATATAAAAAAAACCACTGCCGTTTGTTTTCATACCTAATGTAGACTTTTAATTTTTTTTCTTCGCCAGTCCAACGCTTCGCTGGTTTGTCATCAGCGAATCCATACGGGGGAGAAGCCTTATCAGTGCAGGGATTGTCCAAAGCGGTTCAGCATATTCCAAAGGTTAAAAGTAAGTAACTTTTTTTCTTTCATCATCATCATCATCATCAGCCTATAAGTGTCCACTGCTGAGCAAAAGCCTCTTCTCATACGGAGAAGGTTAGAGCATTAATGTATTTTTATTATATTAAAGACTACCTTTTGCCCGCGACTTTGTTCGCATGGAATAGTGACTACCTGCAGATTTTTGGTTAAAAAAACTATCCGATGTCCTTTCTCGAGTTCCAAACTATGTCTGTACCAAATTTCACAGAAATCGGTTCAGTAGTTTAGGCGTGAAGAAAAGACAGACTGACAGACAGAGTTACTTTCGCATTTATAATATTAGTTTGGATATCGTATAAAATATATACAAATATTATTTAAATACAGTTTATTAGCTAACATCGATTTAGGTAAATAGCTTATTGTAAACATTTTTACTTATATATGTACAATTTTTATATACAGGGCTACAGGTTAAGTCGACCTATTCCCGTTAAGAGCATGTAGTTTACATCGGTCCTGACTAATTTGACTATGAAAGACCCTGTCCGAAATCTTACCGTTTTTGAGAAATTTGAATTAATTGATTAGCATAATTACCTTTTTTTTGCGATTTCTAATTTAATAAATTCGTATTTTGTACATGTCCTTTGTTTATTGTGCTCTTAACGGGAATAGGTCGACTTAACCTGTAGCCCTGTATATAAAAGAAAGTTGTGTTAGTTACTCCACTTATAACTCAAGAACGGCTGAACCGATTTAGCTGAAAATTGGCAGGGAGGTAGTTTAGAGCCAGGAGAAGGATATAGGATAGAATAGGTGTGATTAGGTAGTGTAGGTTAGGTAGAGTAGGGTAGGTAGAGTAGGGTAGGTAGGGTAGGTAATAAAATGACGGGAGCGACGCCGCGGGTAAGAGCTAGTTTTATATAAAAGACATGTCAAGATTGTTGACAACCTGAACCTATAGACCATACCTAACTTTAGTTATGTCGGAGATTGTAAAGTGGAACGCCAAGTGAGAGAATTCATTTACTATTTCTCCCTTTTTAGGTCAGGTCGGCAAACGATTGGACGGATTACCTGATGGTAAGCAATCAGCGCCGCCCATGGACACTCCTTATACCAAAGGATTTACTACAAGTGCGTTGCCGACCTCTTGTAGCTTATTTGGGATTTAAGGATAGGGCGTTTGAGAATAAGGTAGCTTTTATTCTATAAACGATACGAAAACATAATTATGGAACATTTTTTTAAGTTATATTTCGGCAAACGATCACATGGATTACCTGATGGTAAGCAATCAGCGCTGCTCGTAGACATCCGCAACAACAGAAGAGTTACGAGTGCGTTGCTGACCCTTTGGGGATGGGGGGGGGGGAGGGGATTGGGCCTCCTGTAACCTCACTCACACGGCGAAACACAACGCTGTGGTTGTTTCACGCCGGTTTTCTGTGAGGCCGTGGAGCCGACCCATTCATGGCTCTTCCACATCAAATGGAATTTTCTTTCCCGCCGTAATCTGATGTTTCCTTTTTTCCCCCGTATATTATGTATAAGTAGATAATAAAATATAAATGATTTATTTCAGATCCATCAACGCACCCACACTGGGGAAAGACCATTCAAATGTGCAGTATGCCCGAAGGCGTTCAAACACAAAGCTGCCTTAAACAGACATGATAGGGTAAGATTATAAATAAATACAAATTATACAGGGTGACCGGTAAAGAATGGATCCTTGAAATGCCTTTTAGTATATCCTTTGGCCATTCAGAAAAAACAACGAAAAGGAAAGTATCATAGGTATTACCTAAATTATTATGTCTGTATGTAAAAGAACTGGTGCTCGAGGTAATACAAAATGATCCTTTAACATTTACGTTCATTACATTACTGCATAACCACGATGATTAAACATTGCTTTAAAAATAAATTTGGCACGATTTGTCTATAATAAATTGATTTGCAAGTTTTTTATAAAATATTTTTTTTCCGTGTTTTTATAATAACTATCGTGAGACATACTAAATTAACTAAAAATCGCAGGTTACTCACGTTTATATATTGAGATATATATTTCTCAATATATAAACGTGAGTAAACCGCGATTTTTAGTTAATTTATTTTTTGTATATTTTTTGAATGGCCATAAGATATACTTAAAGGTTTTGCAAAGTTATCCATTCTTTACCCGACAACCCTGTACATTAGCAACTCGCCTCCCTTCGCAAAGCTGCAATGCTGATACTAAATGTCTCCACTATTTAATGGATGTCATTATACATATAAACCTACCTCTTCAATCACTCTAGTCTATTAAAAAAACGCATCAAAATCCGTTGCGTAGTTTTAAAGATTTAAGCGTACATAGGGATATAGGGACAGAGAAAGCGACTTTGTTTTATACTATGTAGTTATTAAGTATGGGGAAGACATATGTTTTACTTTTTTAAACCACATATTTATTTTGTTAACATTTTTGCTGATAATATACTTATAAAAAAATGCGTAATCGGTCAAAAGTCAAAATCTTTTAATTCAAATATGTAGAACCTTACAGGCATTTTTGAACGTCAAAGCTTAAAGATAAAATTTCAGTCCTCTATAAAGAAATAAATAATTTGACTTGACTTTTGACTTTGACTTTGACTTTGACTTTGACTTTGACATTGACATTGACATTGACTTTTGGCTCTGAAACGCAGAACGACGTTGCGAAATAGAAAAAATATCGGTATACTCCTAGCCTGAACGAAAATTAATAAATGTATGTATGTTTTTAAGCGCTTAACTCAAAAACGCCTGGACAAAAAATGATTATTTTTGTCGGTGACTTTAATATTTTTTTATGTTTCAGGTACATTCAGGAGCGAAACCCTATCAGTGTATACATTGTGGAAAAACGTTTTCCCAGTCGAATTCTCGTAAACTTCACATAAGGACGGTACACCTGAAGCTGCCTACCCCCTATAGAAGCAGTCGGTATAGGACTGAAGATACAGACGTACTAGAAAATAATGGCCTAAAGTTACCAGGTTAAGCAAGGTTACAATTTGGATGGGTGACCGCTTTTTTTCATACTAAAGAAACGTCTTTATCTAGGACGAATAAGCTGGCTATAAGAGTTATTTTTAAGCGATTCATCATAATCACCGCACTTGGCGATTTCATTGGGGATTTAGATACTTAACGCAGTCAAATGTAATTTCGTTCAGGTCATTGTCATGGATGGACGTATTCTGCTGAATGTAGGTGTTACTTTTGGAAGATTCGCCATAATCACCGAACTTGACGATTTGATTGGGGATTATAGCGACTTGTTGCAGTCAAATATAATATTGTTCACGTCATTGAGCTGTATTGACTTGTACTGCTGACCTAAAAGTGTAATTTCTAAGAGATTCGCCATAATCACCGCATTTGGCGATTTGATTGGGGATTATAGAGACTTGTGGCAGTCAAATAGAATGTTAATAATGTATGTGTTTGAAGTCAGTGGCCTGTTCTTGACTTCGGTTCTTTGTGCGAACCTTAAGGACAATATTAATAATAAGTCATGTTTGTAATTATGTAATGATTTTAATTTATTATTGAAATAATGTAAAATGGCTAAAATACAAATTTAATTTACAAAATAAATGTGTATTATTACTTTTTTTATGTAATAGACCGGCAAACGAGTCGTCGGATTACCTGCTGGTAAGCTATCAGCGCCGCCCATGGACACCCGCAACAGAGAAGTTACGAGTGCGTTTCGACCTTCTGGGGGTAAGGGAATTTGGAGATTTAGGGATTGGGGAGGGGAAAGATTGGGCCGATTGGGCGAAACACAACGCTGTAGTTGTTTCACGCCGGTTTTCTGTGAGGCCGTGGTATCACTCCGGTCGAGCCGACCCATTCGTGCCGAAACATGGCTCTCCCACACCTAACTGGCATTATCCGAAGTTTATAAAACTAAATCTTTTAACGGGTATGTCACACCCACATGAGGAGCCGTGATGTGTATCATATCATCAATGTAGTATGTGTGTTGTGTGTTCATGACCGTCGTGGTGGTCCGCAGGTTAAGGCTCTCTGTTCATGCATGAGGGTTCGAAACCTGGCAAGTACCAATGTGACTTCTTCCGAGTTAAATGTACTTTCTATTATTATTAAGACACCACTGACATACGGTGAAGGAAAACATCGTGAGGAAACCTGGACTTGTTATTGCTAATTATAAGTTTGAAATCGCCAAGCGATCAATCGAAGAGATCAATCGAGAAAAGGAATCTGTATGTGAAACTGATTGAAAAAGAGTAACCATGGAGTTTCTTGCTCGTTCTTCTCCATAGGAATCTACACTTTGGAACGAGCAAATAGCTTCACTAAGAGGACTGACTGACAGACTGACACTATATCTTCAAAATTTTGTTTGACGTTCAAAAGTGCCTGTAAAGGTCTAACTAGGTCTAACTGGAATAAATGACTTTTGACTATTTTGATTCCTATCATTGAAAATATTAGAAAAGTAGGGGGGAAATTGGGAAAAAGTGACTCTTTCGTCGTTAGGTAGATGGACAGTAAAAACGCGTTCGGGGCGGACCGCTAGTTTTTAAAAAGTGTTTGTGTGAGACAGGCGTTTTTCCGATAAAATTATAATCCTTCAATTTGAATTGTAGATACCTAAGTATTAATTAATCAATGAAGTATTATTTATATGTTAATTAAAGAGAATTAATCAGATTAGTATTTATTTATTTGAATAAATAATTTCATATATCTATCCTACTTATAATACGGAAGGAAACTTAATCACATGTCTTCTTTTTAAATCCTCTTTTTTTAAGAAGGGAATGTCGCCAAAAGACTTCTCCCGCCCACGGTCGGACAGGAAGGAGTGTCAGACTCTTACTGACTAAAAACCCCCGTTTCTTTTCCTGCTCTGTGTGTAGGACGCTGTACATTAATGGAATTGCAACCCTCACCTTCCCATGGTGCGGAGCGAGAGGAACTGGGACGCCGTCTCCTCCTTCTGTGAAGCTGTTATGCTCACAAAGAGGGAGGCGGCCCGCGTTAGGGAGCAATCCTCCTCCTTACGCCCCAGCCGCCGTAATAGGCGACACTACGGGCATCGGGGATCAAGGGACGATTTCCGGCCACCGTAAACGCGGGTCTGCGGACGGCGAGCTGCCCTTATTCGCCAGAACCAGACCCGAGTGTACGGCGTGTAGCGTTCCGCGCGCGCCTCAAAGAGCCAATAGACCACCACAGACGGGGCCCTATAGGGCTGATGTTCAGCCGGGGTGGAGGGGTAAGCGCAATGAGGCACCGCGACCTCGGCCCAGAGCAGGAGAAGGAACAGGGGGGTTTTAGTCAGCAAGAGTCTGACACTACCTGAGAAGTCATTTGATGATTTTCCCCTCACAGAAGACTGTTTTACTTTTTACAAGACAATCGGCAAAACGTTCTCGCTTCATGGTGGATATTCTACCCTCATTCACGAAGCGATTCGCCTCCAGTTTTATCATCAGAACCGCTAAGGAGTGGAATTCTTTGCCGGAGTCTGTGTTCCTTGAAGGGTATAACCTGGGTGTGTTCAAGGCCCGAGTGAATAGGTTGCTTATGGGTAGACGTGCTCCATCGTAGGTCGCATCAACGCCTACCACCAGGCGTGATAGCGGACAAATTTATGGCTTATAATTAAAAATAGCTGTCCTAATCCCGTGCACCAGGATCTACAGTAGATACAACCATGAAAACACCGGAACACTGAAGTCCGGCGCGTCCCAGGGACATGAATGACTGTCTTGGATCCCACAACGAAATAAATCAGAAGATATTATTTGAGAAGCAGAAATTTTAAATAGAAAAAGGCGTTTTGTTTTTTTCTCTATAATCCCCACACTTGGCAGACGGCTTGGGGATAGCAATCAAATCACCGACTCTCTATTCTCTATCACTGCAAGGAGATTTAAGAATTTATAGCTTTCTAAGGAGTTTAAAATGCTCAGGGTATTTTACACCTACTACAAGAGAAGTGAAGGTGATATATAAAATACAAAGGTTTAAGTACCTAATCCGTTTTCCGTCAACACTATTAGCAATAAGTAAATGTTAATTTATTTTGTCTGTTTGGATATTTGATACCCATGGTCAAGAATAACGGTGGTGACAAATGAAAAACGTTCAAAATGTCAAATTTAACACAGAGAACATCGGCAAACGAGCACACCTGGTGGTAAGCAATCGGCGCCGCCCATGGACACCCGCAACACCAAAGAAGTTACGAGTGCGTTGCCGGCCTTTTAGGGATACGGGTTTCGGATATTTATGGATTGGAAAGGGATGAGGGAGGGGAGGGATTGGGCCTCTTGTAACCCCATTCACACCGCTGCACACAACGCTGTAAATGTTTCACGCCGGTTTTCCGTGAGGCCGTGGTATCACGGTTCGAGGTGACCCATTCGTGCCGAAGCTTGGCTCTCCCACAATTAACTGGCATTAATTTAAAGTTTATAAAACTAATTATTTTAACGGGTATGTCACACCCACGTGAGTTGCCGTGTTGGTATCATATTGTGTTCTACTTACCCATAACAGTACTATTTAATATATGTATGTATGTATACATATATAATATGTAGCGATCAACCAGTTAAGTTGTATTACGCAATAAACTTGATCGTGTGGCCTTCGATCAACGTGTATAAGGCTAACCAGATCTATAGTGATTGGACAAAAGCGTTTTATCGATATCGATAATCTAATTTTAAAATAACGAAGCACTGTGGTTAAGGCTGTCACTTCTCATAGATGGCCTATGACATCACTAATCACTACATAGTATAAAACAAAGTCGCTTTCTCTGTCCCTATATCCCTATGTACGCTTAAATCTTTAAAACTACGCAACGGATTTTGATGCGGTTTTTTATAGATAGAGTGATTGAAGAGGAAGGTTTATATGTATAATGACATCCATTAAATAGTGGAGACATTTAGTATTAGCATTGCAGCTTTGCAAGCCGGGCCGGATCGCTAGTGAAGAATCGCAGTAGATACCTAAGAATTATATTTATATACATGAAGCCATGGAACGGAGCGACAGGAACTGGGAACCCGCAAGCCGAATAGCAAAAGTAATTCGCAATAAATTTATAACACTTAAAATCAGAATTAAGTGTGGGAAAGCCAAGCTTCGGCACGAATGGGTCGGCTCGACCGGAGTGATACCACGGCCTCACAGAATACCGGCGTGAAACAACTCACAGCGTTGTGTTTCACCGTGTGAGTGAGGTTATCGGAGGCCCAATCCCCCTCCTTCCCCTATCCCTTCCCAATCCTTATATCCGCAACCCCCATCCCCAAAAGGCCGGCAACGCACTCGTAACTCCTTTGGTGTTGCGGGTGTCCATGGGTGGCGCCGATTGCTTACCATCAGGTAATCCATATGCTCGTTTGCCGACTTATACCATAAAAAAATATTTAGATATTATTCTTAGATATTATTTATTGTCAAAAAATGCGTTTCAAGAAATATAATAATAACTTCAGTTATTTAAATTTTCAAAGTTACAAAGTAATAAAGACCACTAGTTCCTTGTAACTAAATTGTCTACGATTAATATTAAGAGGGCAATGATGCCTTCGTTAAATAAATAAGGAAAAATGATTAAGTTATTAAAAAAGAGAAATTTTCTAAAAGAAAATTGTAACTTATTTCTAGGTAAATTTATGACGATTTACTGTAAAAATAATGCAATTTTTTACATGGGCTAATACTACCGTAGTATAATTATATAATAGGAAGGGTTTTTAAAAAGTATATTTTCTTATTAAAAAATATGCCTTTCTTAATATTTATACACAATTTATTGCAGCAACATGTGCAAGCTATGTAAAAAATATGTTTTTGACACACAATCAGTAAGTAAGAGTCTGACACTCCTCCTCGCCTCAGCCCTAGGGCTAGAGAAGCCATTTGACGATCATTTTTCCTCAAAAAACGCTTTCCCGCGATCATCATCAGCCTATAAGTGCCCACTGCTGAGCAAAAGCCTCTTCTCATACGGAGAATGTTAGAGCATTAATCACCACGCTTGCTCAATGCGGGTTGGCGATTTCAAACTTATATTTAGAAATTATAAGTCCAGGTTTCCTCACGATGTTTACCTTCACCGTATGTCAGTGGTGTCTAAATAATCATAGAAAGTACATA